CCCAGAAACCGAAGTTACTGCCCCCGCTTCCCCTGCACCGCTTACGCGCGCCGTTTTCGTTTAATTCAAATTTTACTTTTCTAAGGACTTTTGGGCCACCCTGTACAATACGTTACGACATCCATTTACATCCATATCCGCGCCTCCCAGCAACATTACAGTACAAAACAACAGATGCAATTATGCAAGTTATTTTGTTACCTCATAATCAAGTAGTATTTTTTTTACATACTGATTTACATAAATATCATCAATCAATCAATAACAATGATGTATACCTAACAGAAAAGTAGCAATAGCAGTACTAATAGGTATTATCGCTGTCACAGTGATAATAATAGTACGAATATGATAAGAGACAAAGCCAAAAAACATTTCGCAATCGGCATTATGATTTTTTTTTTGTCATATCACATCACGAATACAATATTCTTGGAACTGCGTTAATTGTACATATTTTCAGGAACTACTGCTTGCAGCAATGGTGTCTAGCAGTACTTATCCTTGTAATCGTCGAGACAAAGACTGCATAACAAGTGCGGCAATTACATTGCAATTTCATATTGTAGCTCTAGCAAAATCAGTATTTTAATAAGTATATCTATGAATAAATTGTCTGTTTTGTTTCTCAACAGTCATTACAATTCAACACTATCATTAAGGATGCGGGAAGAAAGAATTTTAGTAATGGAAATTAATAATCAAATATTCAATTATTTTTTATAATTAAAGTTATACAGTTAGGTCGACCTCCACACGGTGCCCCCTGAAAACTATCGTGATTAATTTATTGTAAAATTCGTCACGATGGACCAACTAACCTGCTTCATCATCCCTCACATCATCATCCCCAATCATTACAACAAAACAAATGTAAACGTTCAAAAGTGGACATTCAGGACATCCTTAAATAAAATCCTGCGTCATTTATAGCAAGGGAGATCTAAAAACAAGAACTATAAAGTCAATGGAGATAATATACTGATTTGATGTGTTTGATCAATTCCTGATAGATCTCTCACTCTATACAGATAAAAACAAGACCACAAAATAAGATGGCACACAAAAAAAATATGAAAAAAAAATCTATGTTCCATCAATTATTTAAATATTCAATTGCAGCCATTAAATTAAAAGCATACGTAGAATATGTAACGTACGTACGTATTTAATTGCGTATAACTCATCTATCGCTAATACTACGTCACTACAGTATCAATCATCAAAAGTAGTTCACTCCTGATGATCATTATCATATCGATCATCAGAAGTAACTACTACTGTTATCTAATTGGCTATAATCAATAATAATGATGATAATGTAAAGGGAACCTCAAAGGTGATTGTCGTTGTCTGTCTGATCTGCTACCGTCTAGAGCCACGGAACCTATGATATATAAATAGAATATCTTACTAATATAATAAAATTGTCACCAGACGGTGTCTGTACATTGAAAATATATAAGAAAAAATTATGACTTATTAAAAGGAATAAATTCCAAAACAATATTTAGGATTGTTGTCTAAATGTTTATTCCAGGGGAAAGGGATTGTTAGTTATGGGGTCTAATGAACCCATTGCTAGCAATACACCTTATCAGGTCGACCTCCACGCGGCTCCCCCTGGAAACCATTGTAGTTAATTCTAATGGAATTCATCACGATGGGCTAGCTGGCCTGCTTTCATCGTCACCTATCATCTCTCATTAAAAAAAATGTTTGTTCCGTCATCACGCTAAAACTAATGCACCAAATTGAATACGGTTTTCACATTTATGTTCCTGAAAGTCTATTGTAACATTAAATGTATGATGTATTTTGATATGCCATCTAGAACTGCCTACCTTCTTTCTTAATTCACGCTACGAAATCATGAGCAAAAACTAGTATAGAATAGAATCTAATGATTTAAGTTGGAGGCAAAAACTAACGTAAAGGACATGCAGTTACGACATCTATTTAAATATATAATCTGTGGCCACAATTATCCAGTAAATATGTAGCAGTAGCCAGCATCGACATTTACATCTCTACTTATATTAAAAGCACAGATGGGTCGAATTTTTATCAGGGAATCATATAAAATTATAGACATATTGTGAGCTTGTCTGAACGTGTTTGTTAAATGTTAACGACCTTGGTGATTGGATCATTGAATACTCTGGGTCATAGAGAGGTATATTATACCTACACAACAACATTACAATATTATTGAGCGTAATGACTAATGACGTTTGTACACCAATGATGAATTAAATATAAGGTAACTAAGGTAAGCTTTAAGCTAAAGATAAAGCTTAGCTTACCTACCTACTTATGGTCCATATACCAAAGGAATATTTCAGGAATATATGAAGCCTGGGGCAGTCAAACAATAAAATTCATAAAAGACAAAGATAATGTGACAATTAAAAAAAAAAATTCAACATAAAATTTGTAAGATTTGAACATGTGAATCATTAAATAACTGTTAAACACTTATACAGATAGATTTCCTAATTCTAAACAGAATCTTGAATAATTTATAAAAAAAATATTTTAATTTCTTAGATACTTAATCCTATGTATTTACAGGGTACAGAGAAATAACACCTGAGTCATCAGGAATGACAACAAGGGAGTATCATGGATAAAACAGTATACTATGTTATATCCATCATACTGCTCATGTCTATAGGCAAGGATAACCACTTTCCATCAGTTGGGCTATCAGCTTGTTTGCCATTCTAAGTTGCATAAAAGAATGTAGGTAGTCAAGTAAAAAAAAAATTAAGTAAAAAGCCTTTTTCATTTTTACGTGATGAGTTTGCAAAATAAGAAATAGCAAAATATTGAAAAAAAAAAATTTGTATTAAGATATTTTTTAAAAAATAAATTTCATGTTACTGTTTCTGACAATTCTCATGTTTTTCCCACTTTTAGAAAAACTGTACCAAGACTGGGCCCAATATGAAACATTTTCTTTATTTATGAAGTTTGATTGAGAAATTAAATTAATTCCCTTATTATTGATTTGCCCAAAGACACAATTAGAAAAATGAAATATTGTTAAGTGGTTAACAATATTTCGATTTCGAACAAATTAAATTTAAAATTAAACATTAATTATTACTTAATTGACTATATTTTTTATGCGAAAGTCACAAGAAAACCATGATGGCTTCCAAGGAGTATGTGTGGAAGTCGACTTCATAAGTATATTGTTATTAATGAGGCTTTAGTCTCTAATATTAACATTATGGTTATTTATTTATTTAAATTGTGATACATAGGTAACAATGGATGATAAAACAAGATAAGTCCTCTATGATCAACCCCATCTATCAATGTATATAAATTTGCAATTATATAAGAAAAATATATATATAAAAAAAAAAAGATTGTAATATGTTTCAATATCCTTTTGGTAGAGATCAAAAGAACCAATGCTACTGATAAAATTTGTATAGGAAGAACTACAGAATGAACCATCTCAATTTAAAAAGGAAACATGGAAATCTTTTTTGAATGGCTTACATATAAAAGAATAGGTGGATATGACAAATTAGCAAAAATTAATAATACAAAAAAATATATTAACTTTAAATAAAATACTAGTTTTAAAAGATCTATATCTCATATCTCTTAATATGGATTTTTTTGTATTAAAGAAAATAGAGAACTAATGGCTTTATATTGAGTAGTTAAGAATTGTAATTTTGAAGTTTTAAATGATGCAATGCTGACATTCTAAACATTTATAATATTTGCACCAGGTACTGTGTTGGTTCTTTTTGTAAATAATTTGCCATTTAAATACTTGATTATCTATCTAGCTTCCATAAAGTTTATCATGTTGTTAACACTATAGTTGATTTATTATTAGATTGACATATTAGAGTGGTAATTATGTCACAAATAGATTTGTATTATACTTCTTATTGGTGCACATAATTATTAGGAAATACTATAATGTCTAGAACTGAGCTTATCAAGTCCTCATTATAATTATGATAAATATGTAAAATTATACATACACACAGCAATTCTTAACTTTAATTACAATATGGGTACCAAAAATTTGCATAGAATCCAACAGCATAATAATTTGGTGAAACTTTGAATATAGAACTTTATTATATATTAGGTACAGGAATTATGTATTTCTGTTTCTTTCTATTTTCACCTCATTTCTTCTTTTGTCTTCTATCCAAGGGGTTCAAGCTTTAGTTTTTCATATAGATTACTATTATAATATACAATTTAAACAAGTTACTAAACTAAATCATAACAGTATGTGATTGAGCTTGGAATTAGAGGTATAATCTACAATAAATTTTGTTTCCAATAAAGTGTCCTTCTCAAATTAAATTTTATTTAGTAATACCCAAAAAGTCTAAAGTAATTTTACCTAAATATATTATATTGTTTTTCCTTAAAACTATATTTTGTTTATTAGATAACAATTACAATGTTATGAATGTTAACATTGCATCAATGTTAAAAAAAATATATTATTTAAAAAAGAAAATATTTTACACATCAATAGGTTTGCATATCTTAATGATCACAGGATACCTAAAGTGGTACAAATGCACCACTTTACCTACGAATTGTGTGTTAACGCAAAGTTATGGCATGTGGTAGGAACCTATTGCAGATTGAAAAAAAATCACGTTAGAATCGCCAATATATTTGTATAGTGTAATCAGCTGATAAGGATTCTGTGGACACGACGTATGTAACTACAGCTCACAATATGCATGACGGTCGGCGCATGCTTACAGATTGAGCGGAATCAATTAGCCTCTCAGAACCTGTGCTACGCACGAGACGGCCGCCGAGCGCGCCGCCTGCACTAATGACTAATCTCATCTCCATCAACACGGCTGCGCCATCACGATGCACAAAATCGAATGCCATTATTTATTCACCTGCATGTTTATTGTCATATGCGCCCTATATACATGCGCAGACATTATCTCGTTTTTTATATATACCACCACTCATTGGCCACTCACCGTCGCTTTCCATTGTCTTAAACACGACGCACCGTGTAAACAGCCTAACCGCATATTATAACAAAATGGAAGTCCAACTAGTCCGCACTGTTATGAGGATTTTATGAGCGATCCGAGCTAGTCCGAGCACCTCTCGAGTTGTAAAACGTTGTTACTATCCTGTCGTAGTATTTTAGCAGCCCCCCTCCAGTTTATTATCTGCCGTCACCAGATTATATTATTCACGATCACAAAGGAATATATTCATAAAACACTATGAAACACCACAAAACGTACAATTAGATGACGATTTAGACAAAAATTAAGGTCCACTTGAAAATAATAATCATTGAAGCGTTTGACGTCCCGCGACACAACACCCACATCAAAAAAATTCTACATAGCGACTGGCCTGGGCCCGCTTTCAATAATTTCCACTTGAATAATATCTCTGTTTCACTCGTTCACCATTCATTTAACTATTTCTCAATACGCGTAAAAGAGACAGAAATATATAAATATTTCCTATGTATGAATAGAATTGGTGTTGTGAAGTATCCCTCCCCGGCGATGGCCGAGGCGAGTTGAATGGACCCGAGACGCGCTCAACCATTGGATCGATGACGGGTCACGTGACACAAATATGTCGCACAACAAAATTACCCGCGAAATTTAAAATAAACGTCTGATAGGGCTTTGATTCTTAAATTTAAAAAATAATGTAATTGTAAATACCGGTAGTCATTTATTTTTAATTATTAAAATTGTTAATTGTAGAAAAACTATTCTAAGTATTTTATTATTCTCAAAACGGCAATTGGAAACAAATTGCCGTTTCTGATATCGGTGTATTCTGTAAGAATGAGCTGCATTCTATTTAGATTATAATTAACTTCTAAAAGGTTACGTAAGAAATTTTGTTCATGGCATTTTTATTATTTTAATGAATGAAATAGGAATAGTAATCAGTGGAGCAGCAGTAAGGAATGATAGGTGAGAATTAAAAGGCAGGTCTCTTTAAATAGATGATAATGAAGTGGTAACCCCGCCTGCACTAACGGATACACTGGTGGGCCACCAGTGAGAAATAATAGATCAGGATATACGCAAATCAGTTAGCCCATCGTGACAAATACATCAAGAATAAATGACGATGGTTACCAGGGAAAACAGCGAGGCGGTCGACTTGATAAAATGTATAGCTAACTATGGGGCCGCTAGTACAATTCGTAACAATCGTTTTCCCCCTGAAAAGGCTGGTCAGTTAGGGTATCATGATGAATACACCTGGAATTTAGCGTGATGGTTTTCAGGAGGGACCACGTGGAGGTCGACCTAACAGGGTATATTACTAGGAATAGGGCCCATTACTAACAATCCCTTCCCCCCACTCCGTGGAGGAAATATCTGCCTATATTTGCACTAGGTACCTTTGCAAGAACTAAGTGGCAAAGAAACCCTCTAACTAGTTCACCAACAGGGGAAAGGGATTATTAGCAATGGAGTTTGACAGTCCCATTGTTAGCAATAAGCCCAACCGAGTCGCCTTCCACGTGGTCCTCCCTGAAAACCATCATGTTGAATTCCAGGTGAATGAGTTAACCCATTGTGCCGAATTCCACTAGATTTAACGATAACACGATGGTTTCCAGAGGAAACCGCGTGGAGGTCGACCTTATAGGGTGTATTGTTAGCAATGAGTCAATTAGACCCCATTACTAATAATCCCTTTCCCTCCGGATATTCTAGATCTTTCCCCAGATGTTTGTTGCCTGGTTACTAATAATACAATCTGTATTATAAAAAATCCTAGCCGTACCAGTCTTCTGGATAGTCCAAGGTCCTAAAGGGATACCAATATGAGAAACTCCATAAATTTAATAAACGATCACACCAAATTTGTCTTTGGAATAAACAGCCTGTTGACCTTATTTCCTCATTGAAAAAGGCACCAAACTCATCAAAGAACACACCTTTCTTTTTGTCGTCAGAGAGATCACCATCAAAAAGTTCCTTACAAGCACCAGGTAGGCTAAGGTTGGCTGTGATCCTAGCTTGAGGGAATTGGTGTGATAGTATAGTAAAAATATTATTTATTAAAATAAAACTTACACTAATATAATTTATTAATGAAATGTACACTTATATGCTGGTATCGTTAACCCAAGTTTTCGACAAATTAATCACTGTTATGTTTCGGAGTTTGGAGTCATGTTTTAAAGAAGTCGTTAGTGATGCACCTAGAAAATGAAAGTCCTCTATCAAGACGACCGTCACGCGGTGTCCCCAAGTGATCATCGTGATTAATTCTCAATGAATTTATCACAATGGGCAAACGAACTTGATTTCACTTCTCATCATCATTCAATGGTACGCCGCATCATATACTGAAAGTTCAGGTGTAATGTTACAATTCCATTTTCGTCCAATTAACAAAAGTGCGACTAACATTTAAATATGGAGGGGACCAAGATTGTTAGTGACTAGCGGTCAGGTCGAACTCTACGTAGCCTACCTTGAAAATAATTGTGATTAATTCACTGGTATCTCATCAGCATAAATCAATATTGCAGATAAAGTTACCATTATTTTTATCGACAAAAAATAAAAAATAAACTAATTAAAGAATAGAAAAGTGACTGGAGAAGATAAAATATTTATAGAACTCATAAAGTATTCAGATTACCTCAATTGGACGAAATTTTTAAAATGATAAAAATTTACAGTACAGCTGAGATTTAGAAAGATTTCAAAATAACTAAAACTATTGCTATAATGGTTTCCAGGGAGAAACACGTGGAGGTCGACCTAATAGCGTATATTGCTGTCAATGGGCTATTAGACCCCATTAATAACAATTCCTTCCCCCTAGATTTGGGAACATATCGCTTTTGTAGATCTGGAGAGGTCTTTCGATAGATTGAAAGAAATTGATAGAAGTATTAAGGGATTCGGAGTTAGATTTAAGAGATAGAACAATAATCTACGTAATATATAAATACTAAGAAACTATAACAGACGTAGGAAAAGCAAGAAATCGTCAAGGAGTAAGATAAGTTTGTCCATTGTCACCATTTAAATGTAACATATTTATACAGACAGCTATAAGAAAATTTTCAGAACAGAAGAGGCAAAATGCTGAGCCACCATGTCGTACAGGGAGGTCAGATATGGTTTGAAATAGAGTTGCTTGGTAGAGAATTCATGAATTAGTTACCCTTACAACAGAAGAAACCATTAAATAAAAATAATGTCACCCAAATGCACTTGTTTCTTTTTCATCATATATTTACTTACACTACTTAATTATATATATATACACACACACACACAAATGCGCGCGCGCGCGCACGCACGCACGCACACATAGTCTGTATTTTGTAATTAACTTTGGCTAAGTTATATACTAGAAATGTTTTAATGTTAAGTTTATTCTTGCACTTTATATCTTATTATTGTTATCTGTGTATTATGACACTATTTGGTTGCCTTGTATTTGTGTAGTCCATGGAGATGGGGCGCTGGTGACTTGTAACACAGGTTCTTCTAAACCTATCACAAGCACCAGTCTCTCACAAAATTGGTCTTCATATCAAATTGTATCTCAAGTTGTCACTTTATTCTACTTTTTGTAAAGAGAAAATAAACCATTCATTCATTCATTCATATATTACTATATATAGTATTCTATCTAGACCATAAAAATACCATTAACCAATAGATAGTTCGACTGCTCAAACTATTACTTACAGAAATATGGATTTTTTACTAGAAGTTTGTTATAAAATAACATAGGGAACTGACTTTACAAGAATCCTTTTTCCTGTATTTAAACAAAAACGCGATAAAAGTTTGTAGGGAAATTTCAATGATAAATTTCATCAGGATGAAAAATTCCTTCACCAATTCTAGGATAAAAAAAAAACAATATATTGGTTTTAAGATACATATTTATTTAGTACGAAAATATATCCTACTTACTTAAAATTAAGTATAACTATAGAAGTTAAAGGCTATTGTTTCAAACCATATAACTTATGAATGTTATTGCATACATTTTTATGCAAATATTGTTACAAACCTACACCATTGTAAGCAAGGTGGATGGCAAATATTGAATACAGATAAGTGCTATGATTTGCAACAACTATTTAAATTATTGGAAACAAAAAAAAATAATGAAAAAAAATGTAATTCTCAATAAACACTACAGATCAAATATATTCTATTTATTATATAATATAATTTATGGACTACTAAATTAATAACACATTGTAACTGAAAGTATTTCCTCAAATTAATATTATATCCTGTAAATACTATTTTTTTTGCTTTGTATACTTTTTTAAATAAAAAAGCAGAATGTCATTAAAAATGTGTAATTAAGCGATAAGTGGCTTAGTTAACTTAGATTGACCAATGTTATAATAATGTTAGATGCCGAGGCCAAATACAGAAACAATACAATACATAGTTTTGTTTTCCCAGCGCACAGTGCATGAACCATCCGTATTGTTGTCCCAGAAGCAAGAGGAGGCTGTGTGAAGCCCTGCACCATTTTTTTGCATTATTGTGCACGTCACTGTAAACAATTTTTTTTAGTAAATATTAAATATCTTATTAAACTAACATTTTATAAAAAGGAAAATTTTTCTGTTTGTAATAATCTCAAAATTTTTAACCAATTTTAATAACTCTTTCATCAATAGAAAACTACATTATTAGCAAGTAATATGTGCTGTAGTGATCTAATATACACTTTTAACCTGTATACCCATAAAAAGCCAGGGCAAATTGCCAGTAATATTGTAAATATGAAATCTAACCTTTTTTTGAATATTCCTTACTCAATTACATTTAAGCAGCTGTATGAATTTGAATGAATTTTGATATCGGTTAGTTTTTATCCTAACAAATATACAGAGTACATCAAATCTTTATTTAAATATGTAAAATACTTATAAGCTAAGTGTGTTTTTATGTGTTTGACAATTAAAGTTTCAGACCAACTCTCAAGTGATGAACTAAACAATAGCATGTTGTTTAAAAAAGATTGCAAATGTGTCATATATTAATCACAATAAACATTATCTTCTGAAATTAAATATCAAACAATTGGTGGTAGACAAATATTTTTCTAATAAAATATTAATTTTTTTCAGGGCAACTAACTTGTTGGAAAAGAAATACTTCTTTCCAACTGGTTCCAATATAGCCTGTCTTATCCTAGGAGAGGCCATATTCTAGATCTTCTATATGACATGACACTTTGTGTTTCTTGGTTTTCCTCCTCCTATTGTTATTTTTTAAATTTTTGTAAAATTAAAAAACAAAAGAATACCAACAAACGGCTATCATTATTATCATGCCGGCTATAGTTACGCTTTGCGCGGGTGTGTATCATTATACATACGTACCTATATATTTGTAAGGCTTTTGCAGTTTCGTCAATTGACCCAAACAAGATTCCACTACGGCAGATGTCCACTGATTGACTTTATTATGTTGATATGCAGTACCACCGATTGAATTTTCAATAGCTTCTTTAATAATTTTGCTTACATCGTCAACAATAAATTGATTCTGAAACACGTCATGTCGTTATTAAAATGAATCAATATATTTTAATTTCACCATTATAAACTTATGTAAACTTACTTCCTCAGAAAGGTCATTGCATTCTTTCACCTCCATGATTTAAAATAAAATTTTAGAACCTGATACTTATTAAAAATTGTTTGATAAAGAAAAGTGTTAAAAATTCAACAACAAAATTTTTGACGCACGCTTAATGTGACGCGCTATGACGAAAATTGGAAATATCAACTTGACATCTGACGTCTATCTTTTCAAAAATTTTAATGTTAGGAGCTAAGAATAAGGAATTACAAAGAAGGAATGATAAAATAAAAACTGTAAATATGATGGTGGCGATATTGCCGTCTTTTTTCTTACGGAAATATATTATAACAATAGCAGGCTAGTGTATAAAAAATGTAACACGGCCGTATAACCCTACCAAATTCAGATATTTATCATTCCTTCTATGTAATTCCTTGTTCTAAGGTTGGGAGTTATTCTTTGTAGATAGTATTATATATGGATATTGTTGCCATACACATAAAAATTTATTTTGCATATTTCATTAACGTACTAATCTTTATCACATTCTACTGGCAAATGTGCAAAAGAGATAGCGCGTTCATGTGATAACAAAGATTAAGGATAGTTTACTGTCTTTAACTTAACATTTGAATAAAAGGTAAACCTTAAATGTTGGATTTCAGTTTTAAATTATTTTTTTGAATAAACATTAAGTTTACTTTTCCCATTATAAAAAAAAATTATAAGTTACTTTATGCCGTCAGTAACTTGTCAGTCGGTGACGGTTGTAAACATTTATTAGGTGCATTTGATTACTCTATGATTTGCGTACGATTGCGATTGTCAGTTTTTATTATCCTTATCCCTATGAAACGAACATGGATATTTTCTTTTTCTTGATTTATTAATAATAATGGCTTCTTCAATACAAAATAATAGAGTATCAGCTCCAGGATATTGTGTGTGTTGTAGAGTATGCAATATGTGGTGTTGGAGAGCTTTTAAGTGGCTCCCAGTATTATTAATAGTGTCTATTGTGACTTGGTCATATTATGCCTACGTTATTCAGCTGTGCTTTTGTTAGTATATAATATTTAGGATTTCCTTTCGTGTGATATTTTTTGTAAAATACTACTCTATAAAATCAAAATAATTTAACATCATAGAATTGATTATCCTGATTTGTGGTCAATAAAAAAGATGACATAAATTTACACAGTACGACATGATTGGAGCTAACTCATTTAATTACATTGTTAATCATCTATTTAATATGACTAATTAATGAAAGAGTTGTTGTAATTTTTCAGTTACAATCGAAAGTACAGTTCAACAGTGTGTTTATTGGGTTCTGTATCATATATTGTTGATGATGTTTGCGTGGTCGTATTGGCGAACAATTTTCGCTGATATCAAACCAATACCAGACAAGGTAAATATTCTAATTTAACTATGCATGAGTTAGATGTACTTGCAATAACATTATATTAACATTTAACTAAGTCTTTTTTTGTTACTGTCATCCTATTAAGTAGGTCAAATAGAACTGCCACTTTAGGAGAATGAAAATATTGTGTTTATAAATAGTAGATTAATATTATGAATGAATAAAAATAAAATATTAAGTGTTTTGTTATTTAAACTTGTTGATTCATATATTTGGTGTATCTATTATAAATATTTCTAATTCTTAAAAGATTATTATCAAAAATTTAAATTATTTGTATATTGTGAGTTATACTGTATTTTTTAGTAGTAGTTAATAGTAAGTATTTATTAATTTTAGTATGTGGGTAGTAGAGCCTGTATTAATATTTATTCATTATTATCAAAAATAGTACATAAGCAGATGTATCACTAAATTAGTTCAAAATCAGTGCAAAATAAATATTAAATCTTCATGTTAGATAAATACTGTGTTATTTTATATAAATGCAGGTTTAAGAGTTAACTTCAAATTATATATTTAATTTTATTTTTAAAATAAAGTCAACAATATGTAAGAATTAAAAAAAAATCTAGTACTGGGATTGAGATGGATGGAGGAAGATCCCTAAAATTAATTTAATTAAAGAGAAAAGAAGAACTTCCTTATTTTTATTGTTGGTTGCAAATACATAAACATAAATTTTAATTTCACTTGAGAAATTACTGTTTATTCTGAATGTGTAAATGTCAAATAAAGAAATTGCAAACCTTACTACAGTGAATAAGTATATTTTTAAGTATACATATTATAAGACCAGAAAAGTTTGTTAGTATTGGATTTTTTTTTATAAAAACAAAATCTTTTCAAACCCTTTTTAATGCAAAATGGAAAACTATTTTAATTTCCTCAAGTTTTTTGCACATAATGTTTACATTACTGAAACAAATTACATTGTGTATAAAATGTTTTTGTTCCAGTATAAATTGCCTGATGAAGAATTGGAGAAATTATTGAGTGCAGAATCTGAAGATGCTCAAAGGACAATTTTGGAGAACTTTGCTAAAGATCTCCCTATAGTTACTAGGTAATATATGACATCTAATACAATCAACTGTAAAATGCTGTGGCATTTTCACACTAAATATTTCTCATCTATACTTAATTTACATACTTAATCTATATATATATATATATATATATATATATATATATATATATATATATATATATGTTTGTTTACTTAAACATATAGTATGTATATATTTAAGTAAACAAACACCCAAACTAATACAAACTCATAAATAAAAAGGTTTGTGTTGTAGATAGATAGATAAATTCTTTATTTGCATCAAGAGATACACAAAACTTATTACAATAAAAACGGAAAAATTAAACAGTGTTTAACAAAAAAGTGTGTTAACAGTGTTTAAAAAATACACAAAAATTTTTACATAACATAATATGTGAAAATGTAATATGTGTACCACAGTGATGCAAAAAAGTAATATCTCAGTGAGTTGTTGGCTTCATAAGCAAACCACAAATTTTCAGTAACTGCCATTATACAGGTATCAAATACACGACCTTTGGAAGATAAGGCGCTGTAACACCAAGATTGTCAAATGTAGTTACATTTGACGACCTTGGTATTACTACTGCAATACTTACAACATCACTAAATTAGTGTCTGCTACTGCAAGCGACACACAGTGTAGTGAAAGTAGTATTGCAATGCAAAATGAATATGTATCCAAAAATATGAAACACAAATTAATAATATACTCTGTGTGACAGAATCGGTGTTGCATGCTATCAAACGTGTATCAAATGGGCACATATGTACCCGTATATGTCTAAAGAACAGTCTGTCCACTGCTGAACATAGCCTCCCTTATAATAGGAGTTTTGCCAATTGTTGCCATGCTTGGCAGAAAGATTGGCAACTACAGGTAGGCCTTTGGTGATGTTTTAAGAGAGATTCTACTGCCCATCCCTCGATCGTTATATTCCCTTAGTCGCCTCTTATGACACCCACGGGAAACGCATGGGTGGCCCATTCTATGTCGGGTACACGGCATCATTGCTAGTGGACATAGTAATATTTGCACTGATTCTTTTCGTGTCTACAGACACGAGCCTAACAAATTTGAAGGAAATTTTTATCTACTATTTTTTTAAACTAATTAACGAAACAGCAGGAGTGTGCTAATAATAAATATATCTTTACTAGTTATCGTGTAATAATAATAATGCAATTACTTTAATACACGTATGCATTATTTACAATTCCAAAGATTGCAATCGGCTAATTAATAAATATGACAAAGTTCGAAAATCTACTACGCTCATATATACATATAATAATATACTGCACTTTTATACGTGACTGACATAAATATTGATATTGTAAATACGTGACCGTACGTCCGTGGTTACAGGTCATTTAATTCATTCCGTCGTTTATTTTTCACACTATGTAGGTATTTTTGCATTGATAAAAATCATTTAGTACAAAATTATACATATATCAAAAGTCAATCGAGTAGTATTTGATAGGAATCGAAAGGTCAGCGACAAAAGTTTTATATGTTGTTTACTAATTTAATACAAAGAAATAGTTGGTATTATGGTTGACGTTATTTACTATGCAAAGTCTTATCTTTTCCAGGATCATTTATATAATTAAGAACACTTATTTTACGTACTATATTCATAAGTTTCATTATGTAAAATACAAGCTATATAAAATATTACCATAAACGAATATCATGATACGAGATTTTTATGTATTAAGATATATTTGCTTTGTGTTTTGATCTTCAGAAATTTTTAAAAAATTCGTAATGGTAACCCTGTACATATTGCAGTTATTACTTGCTCATATTATTTATCGGTCACGGATAGAAAGTTTAGAAAGTCAATTATCCATCCAATTCTATGATGTTAGGTACCATCGTTTTACTAATCATCGGCCACGTCTTTCTTTAGCTACATCTGTCTATTCTCAATTCTAGACTCAGACTAATGATCAGAAAGATCAGCACGCGATTTTTTAAGATGGAAACTAGAAACGAAATTTTAGAAAACTTTGCCGATTACATACCAATATTGACAAGGTGTGTGATTCTACATTAATGTAGCTTGAATTGAGCAACTAATCCATCCATCTACTGTACGAGATGCTTAGAAGTTGTATAAAAGCGTTATATAGAAATACTAGTGACCCATCCCGGCTTCGCACGGGTGCAATATCTCGGCAATAATTTTCAAATTGGAGCACAACACAACTCTAACGCTAACGTATTCTTGTGCTAACAATACACATTTACATAATCTCACTAGAATCGGTTAAGCGGTTCCGGAGATTAGCGTCTATGAACACCGTGACACGTATTAAGATTATCAATACGAGGTTTGTCCGGAAAGTACGTATAAAAGTTTTTTAAAAATTTTATTTTACAATTATTCAGGTAAATCAATTTTATCCCCTTCAAAGTACTCCCCCTGTGACATAATGCACTTGTGCCAACGCCGTTTCCACTGTGAGAAGGCTCCTTGAAAGTCCTCTGGTTGTAGGTTTCTCAGCTGCCCCGTCGTAGCTTTTTTTATCTCATTTATGTCCCCCAAATGCCGCCCCCGAAGTACCAATTTGGTTTTTGGGAACAAGAAGAAGTCACACGGGGCCAAATCCGGCGAATAGGGGGGGTGTTCGGTCACCGTAATGGAATTTTTACTCAAAAACTCACGGACAACAAGAGAGGTGTGGGCAGGGGCATTGTCGTGGTGAAGAATCCAACGCCCCTCTCGCGCCAATTCTGGACGAACTCGTGCCACACGAGCTTTGAGGCGTCTGAGCACATCGACGTAGAATTTTCCATCAACTGTCTGGCCTGGAGGGACGAATTCTTGATGGACAATCCCCCGAACATCGAAAAAAACAATCAACATTGTCTTGACATTTGAGCGGGATTTTCTTGATTTTTTTGTTCGTGGTTCCCCGGATGTCTTCCACTCTTTGCTTTCACGGCCATTCTTGCCGAGTTTCGAGAGAAACTTGATTACGACGCGCTGCTCTTCAACGGAAGCGGGCTCCATGCCGACGGGGTTTCGTTAAGAGGTAACTTCACAGATGGCGTGACAAGCCAGTTCGCACCGCACGGCGGTCAGACCAGAACTGAAGCATTGTTAGGGACATAAGGAAGGGGTCCTGCGCTTACCTGGCCTCCCCACTCCTCTTTCTCGCATTCCAGAACACTTTTATACGAACTTTCCGGACAGACCTCGTATGTACCAAGCGGTTGTTGACACTAGACATTGTCGTTAAAGCAATTTTTATTAAAAAAAAAACTTCTTATGAGCTAGCTTCTAAATGATCCTATAAAGTGCCTTTAGAAAGTGCCATAATCCATTCATCTTAAGTGAGCACGTAAAATAGTAGTTTATGGATTAAGTCCTTGCTATGACAATTTTTATTTTATATTAAGGTACCCTCTGAACTAACATTATACCCGTAACGTTTATCTTTTGTATACCTCGACACTGCATCTATTATGGCATAGGATAAATTCCAAAGTTAACACTGTTGCCTGTTGTAATTACGTACATATTTTAGCATCAGCATAAATATCTAAGCTAATTATAGTGTCAAGACATTAATTAGTATAACATTATTTCGCTGATATGCGGTATTGGTTTGTAGACAAGATATTTATATCCCCCATTGTTGTAAATTCTCATAGAATTATGTAACTTTAACATTGACGAGACCAGGTATTTAAGATTGCGATTCTCCTAGATCACGGATTAGCAACAGGCAGGTTTTTAGGCTCAGCAAAAAAGAATGACTCATCGTGACAAATTAATGTAACCAACACAGCAATCTACATGAAATGCCAAAAGAATTATCAACATTGGTTTATAATTGGTGACGTAATTGCGTAATAAATACAAAAAAATATTTAAAAAGACAATTTTGAGTGGGCCTTCTTTTTTAAAGTCGCTAAAAATGGACAAAATAGTTTTCCATTGCATGCTATGCAGATAATACTACGAGTATCAAGTCGAAGTATTTATTTGTTTATTTTATACATGTAGTAAAAACAAAACGACTAAATGACGTCAATTGATGTCGTAAATAGTACTGAATGTCTCATTAATGAGTTGTGTGCCGTGCATTATTGCGGTTATCCATAAAAAGTCAGGTCCCGTATGAATATACCACCTTAGCATAGAATTTGTGTTCTGTACATAAATGGTCACGAAAACCCATGCTTAGCTGTCACAACACGAATCACTCGTAGCTCGAACCCACGATTTTTTCCTCTCCAGGGCACAATGGCCCTACAAGATTTCCATCTATTTTTTTGTACGTTAATTAGAATTAATATAAATTTTACCACTATCGAAATCGCTTTTTTTCTTTTTCCTATTTTATTTGGGAACACAGGACAATAAATGTCTATATAAATATATAAACGATTGATTATATGAAAAACATATATGGAGATTATAAAATTTTGCGCCACAAAAATCTGTCAAATTTATATTATTTATTTAAAAAAAGATCGGATAGTGAACGAAAAAATTTATTTAAAAGTACTACATTTTGTTAATGAAGTTTTCAAATACTTTTTTACCTTGAAAATACAAAATTTTTCATAAATAAAGCTTAATAAGAGTATTAATGTATTATTAAAATTTTAGTTCGCTATTAGAGCACTTTAAAAAAAAAAACAGTTAAAAGTATTAAGAATTATTTAGTTGTTTTTGAAAATGGACAGATTCCAACGTTTGGTAATAACACACTTCAGTAATCGGTGTGTTGTATTGTGCAGTGAGTTTGAAACTAGATTAAAACTTTTCAGAACAATGTCAGGCTCGGTCCGGTACTGCAACCGGTGCGTCCTCGTGAAGCCGGACCGCGCGCACCACTGCAGCATCTGCTCACGCTGCGTCCTCAAGATGGACCACCACTGCCCGTGGGTGAACAACTGTGTCTGCTTCCACAACTACAAGTTCTTCATGCTGTTCCTTGGCTATGCTCTCTTATACTGCCTCTTCATTATGTCGACGTGCCTGCCTTACTTCATTAGGTTTTGGAAGGTACCTATATTTGTTTATGTGAATTTTTATATTGATATGATGTTACAATTAAATGAGGTATTAATATTTATTAAATTTATTTATTTATCAAATAACAACTTAGCCTGTTTTGTTAATATTTTTTGAAATTTTATTAGCTGACACGGTTTTGTCCCCTACCATTTATCTGTCTTACCTAAATATTTTATACCCACTAATTGAGCCTATTTTTTCAATAGTATATATAGTAATAGTAGTATAATAATATTTGATTGTATAAAGCTGATTTACATTAATTACACATTATATTAAAAACATATTTGGAACATACTTATAAATAAATAATAAAATATAATTTCAGCAATAATATATTTAAAAAAATCCTTTAGATTATCAAATAAACAAATAAATTTATTTGTTTACGCCATTGTATGCATGAGATACATTGAGATGCCGAATATGCTGTCTCTTTCTCTCTCACGCCTGCGCTTTTATAAACGTGTCTACAATTAGATTCTTCTGGCAATATTGTCAATGAGATATTCTGAACTTTTCATCTCAGATGATTCTGGAAAAATGGCCAAATTATATCCTACCTAATCTTAATACTGTTTTTTGTCCTCAGAGTATTTTTTTGTCCTAAAGAAAACCAGTTTTCTAATAAGGTTTTGTACAAGGAAGTTCGTTTTTTTTTTTGTGCATCATGTAGTGGAATTTTATTACATAATACTTTTTGTTCCTACAACATACAAATCCAAATACACAAGTACAGCAAGACTGACGATAGTTATTATTTAACAAATTCAAAGAATATTTTTTCACGAAACATATATTATCATATTTTTTACTTTTTCAAAATAGGTCAGTTCACATCAACTGTGTGTATATAAATCTAAATTATAGTTCTTTATTAGGGTTTAGTACAAAAAAAGGTACTCTTCGATTACGACTTCTTCCAATTAACTGTCACAGCGCTATATTTTTTTATAACCTATATATAAGTCACACAATTCTCATTCAATTATACTAAATAGATAAATTATTCAAATATATATATATATATATATATATATATATATATATATAATAGTGCGACTATTTTTGGAAATTTGGAAAATTTGTTCACTATTGTTTCTATAAAACAACTCATATGAGGGTGTCGTCCTCTGGTTTTAATTATTTTTAAGCCAATTTCGTTACAATACCTACAATAGATACTTTTTGTTAAACGTACAACACGCCACAAGCTAAAGTTCAATTCCCACCATCTGGATGAGTGGCGGTCCTCCACCGTGTGTTACAGATAGTAAACATTTTCCTCCAAGCACAGCTAAAGTTTACCAACCAATTCCCAGCAACAGTATTTCCGAACAGATACAACATTGAAACCTCCAAGAAAAAAATATATTTCTTCTTAAACGACTGACAACATATCTGTAATACTTTCTCTAATGTTGCAGTTGCCTATGGGCGGCGGTAATCACTCCATGTTATAAAAATACATTTTATTGTCTATAGTAATAAGTATGAATCTTTCTTTCAGCATTCTCTAACATACTGTTACATATTATATGTGTATATATTACATTTATTTAGATTTTAATCGTCTTTTAAAGATCTCTATCTGTTCGTGTGATGTGTTGTGTTCCGATACGCAATTATTAAAATAGGTATAAACAAAGCGTATCGTGCACTATTTGTAAGCTATTTGCTAATGACCTTTTGACAATTTTATCTTGTTTATTGAAAATTAGCCTGCGATAGAGACTTGTCACCTTCAACTATTTTGATCCTTAAATACCTATGTATTGGAGAATGATAAATAAATTTAATGTAAACAAACTACTTCGAAAATATATATAGAATTTTAAATAGTCAAATGTTATATTAACTTAAGTTACGTCATTCGTATTATACGTTTTATCATAAATTGACGACGTTGTTAAGAGCTTTCATTCCGGAATGAGTTAGTCTGCATTATCTGTAAATTTTAAAAAATAACATATAATCATTACTACTATTATATAATGTATAGAGAACTAATAATCATAGATCATAATTACATAAAAAATACTTAAGATTAGAATTAAAAAGTTTCCGTATACTTCTTACACGACTGCTCAAAAAAGGAGTGTACTCTTTTATAAGTTCATCATGCATATACGAGTATAAGAGATCCTTTATTTTACCATAACTTCTAAGTGGTTAATCAGATTTGAATGTATGGAGTACTGTCAGAGTCCTCACATCATTCCAAGTGACATTAGGTGCAGTTTTTTCGAAAATATTGTAGTTTATTTGTGGAGCAATATTTACTGATACTCGGTGTTTCAATATCCAAATTTTTCAAAAATAATAATTTTACTTCACAATTTACGTTTTAATTCACAAACAGTGCACTTTTTAAATAATCATTCAGAAATATTCAATATTGTTGTTTTTTAAAATTTGCAAGTTATTCAGCGGTTAGGCTTCGTTATGGATGCTTTTAATAACATAAATAATAGAATGTTACTTTGACTATAGGCCCTAGTTTCGTCGTTATGATTTTTAGTAAATAATTTATAACAATTTACAGATGTATCAGGAATACAAGCATGCCCACTGCGACCGCTTGATTGGAAATGGAACATATTCCAAAATTTGCATGGATATACTAAATGTAAAACATTTAAATTAGTAGTATATTTCTCATCTTTTAGTTTATACCGCGTGTAGAGAAGATAGACACCACAGTCACGGAGCTATGACACATTTCGTTATTTTTTCACTAATAAATTTATTTTCGTAATTGTGTAGTTCCAAATTTATTTTTTTTTTTTTTATTTTTAATTGAGAAAGTTCGAAATTAAATTTTTCCTGACGCTCTACACACACACTCTGACTAAAATCAAACCATTTTGGAATAGTCAGTATTAAAATTCCTATTTTAAATTTACTAAAAAAGTAATGTAAAAGTTTAGTAAAAAAGGAGATGCAAAAGAACTGATTATTTCTAATCAGTTTCCTTTTAATTAGTACATTTCGTCTGGACTTTGTATGTCAATATAAATAGTTTAAAGATCCCCATCCCCCCTTGATGAGACATAGCCCCCCCCCTTTCCCGGCGTGAAATTTAATTGTAAAATCTTATTATTTCAATGTTTTGTTTCATTGAGGTTTTAATTGGCCTCTTCTCCCCCTATCAATGTGATTTGCTCACATATTGCTGCCCCTTTCCCTATTTTGAGCTCACGTGACTAAAATACGCCATCTTCGTCATATCAGTATCTTGTTCCATTCTCATTAATTAAAATAATGCCCACTTTAAGTGCCTCTAGTTGTTTACAATCATTTACTAATTGCTGTTAGGTCATCTTAATAATATATTTATGTAATGTATTGCATATAGTAACTCAGATAAAACCATGCATCCATAAATATCTCTAATCGAGTCCACTCATATAATTACAAGCAATAGTATGTACTTGTGAGTACAATATTTTATTATATTGTTCCACATTGTTTAATAACGCGGTATCGCAGTGGGAATGATTTTATTTTTTATTTTAAATATAGAATAAACAGTGTGGAAAATATAATTATCCTTCATAACATGCTATTCATCGCCCACATCTGTACTTAGGTCGATCGTAATTAGTAATATTTATATTTAGACGTAGTTAGATTTAATAATATAATAAAAAAAAAAAAACAATTTAAGAGTAATTAGAGGATTGCCGTGTATTTCCGGCAGACTAGGCCACTCTTTCCTTTTTTTGTGAGTGTCATAAGAGGTAACTAAGGGAGTGTAATGGTTGAAAGATGGACAGCAGCGTCCCTCTTAATACATAACCAAAACCTAACTGCGGTTACCAACTGCGGCAACCCGCCTGCCAAGAGTGGCAACTATTGGCGACACTCTATGTCCAGCAGTGGACAGTTAACGGCTAGTAATAATAGTAAATTAGAGGCTTAATAATAATAATAAGTGTCGTTATATAGGACGTATCACGTAACGCCATCTAGTTCCAAATAAAGTAGACCTTGTGCTATGAGTACTAGTCAACTGAAAGACGCATTTAAATACATTGTCTTTTATTAATTTTATATTTATCCCTCATTTTTACCATACAAGCAGTATACTACGGCTTCACCCGCGTAAATCAGTATATATTGTCTGTGCTAAAGTATATAACCTACTCATGTACCAGATTCTGTTCAAATCCGTTCAATAGTCTTTGTGCAAAAGAATAACAAACTACCAACAATCCATGCATCTATTATTACAAATTTTCGCATTTATAACTTAATTTTATCCTCTTCATGTAATTCCTTTCTTTCATCTTCTTTTAACAATGAGACGACATGCCTCATTGTTGTTATAAAAAAAAGTTTGACGTTTAAATATATTCAATCAGATTTAAATTTAATTTGATGTCCATATAGACCATATCCTAAATTAATACTCAAATTACTTTGTATGAACACAGACAAATTGCATTTTGCAGCATCTATTTTCACGCTAGACCCCTTGCGAGGTAGACAGTGTAAACCGAGTAACAAAAGCCTCGATTAAATAATTACGCTCTTATTCATAGAAACGTCAAACGCCTCATAAACCTATTTTAGCTATTGAATAATTGTTTTGTCTCTTTCTTTTATGCCACATTCCCAATTCAAAAGAAAGTGACAAAAGAGTTCAATATAATAGGTAATAAAATAGGTTTGTAATAGGTTTTAGTTTTCATAAAGAAGGGAGTTAATTTATATTTCTTTATTTAAGGGTGACTTCGGTACAGCGGCGAGTGCGGGCCGCTATCACATAGTGTTCGCTTTTTTCGTGTCGCTCATGTTCGCGATATCGCTCGGTTCGCTGTTCGGGTACCACTGTTACCTCGTCGCGAACAACAGGACCACATTAGGTTTGTATAATTATTTATCTACTAGCTTTTACTCGCGGCTTCGTCTGCGTGACCGATATATGTCTACTGGCCGGGATGAAAAGTATTCTATATCCTTCTGCATCCCGTACAGTTTGTGTGTACCAAATTTCATAGCGATGGGTCAATTTGTTAAGACGCTAAAAGGTAATAAACAAACTCTCTTTTACGTTAATAATATTAATAAGGATTAACGCTTTATTGTACAAATACGGACAAAATACATGAAGAGAAAAATGAAAGCAATTGGAGATTTTATAATGTATTATAATGAAATAGTAATCACGCCTGCGTTAACGTTATACGCTGGGGGGCACCAATGAAGCACGATAGGTGAGAATGAAAAGGCAGGTTAGTTAGCCCATCGTGACCAATACACCTGGAATGCAGCACGATAGTTTCTAGGGAGACAATGAGGAGGTTATTGAAGTATTTAGCTAACAATAAGACTGGTGCTCCGCATTGCTAACGATCCGTTCCTCAAGCAATTGAACTTGTACTCCGATGTGGTATTTTTACGAATGGAATATTCCAAACATCCTTCGGTGAGATTTTGAAAGAATTGAAAAATAAAATAAACGGCATTTAATTAATATAATATTATAAGATTGCAAAAATATTTGTTATTCTATATCGTTTCCTAAAAATGACTTCAGTAGAATGCTAATTAGAATTAAAAGTAGTATTAAAAGAAATTGAAATTTGTGGAAGAAATTACTTACGATTTTGTAGATAGATAGATATTTAATTAGTTTGCGTCACTTAGCACACAAATAATATTAGAAAAAAAGAGAGAAAAAAATTATAAAAAAAAGACTTTAGGTAGGTATTAGATTTATTTGAAGTGACGGCATTGACTATAAATAATTTGTTAATTAAATGTTTATATAAATGGAGAATTAAATAGCCATTTGATTTCAGATATGCTGATTTCTTATCGTCGGATGGGCAGTCCCACCGGCCAGATCATTAACAATATGTTAAAGAATTTGGTCAACGGTAAATGCTGTCACTTCGTATCATTTGACCAATAATATTGTTGTTAGTTTTATCTAGATATTGTAATATTGTATAATTTTATAGGTATTTGTAGGCGTAATAATAGATGTTAGATGTGACGAATATATATATATATATATATATATATATATATATATATATATATATATATATATATATATACGTGTATATTACTGAAATTTGTATAGATCATATTTATATAGATTATACAATGTTGTATCATTGAAACAATATTTTTCCCAAAGAAACATGAGTCGAAAACCTACAAAATATTCTAATATATACGAATACATTTAGTGCTAGTGATTTTATGTTATAATAAACAATAGATCGTGAAGCAGTTGTGTTTGCATGGCTGTGTTTCGGTTTGAAGGGTGGGATATGGCGTGAATTTACAGGGTACAGAGGAATAACATCTAAGTCCTCAGGAATGGCAACGCATGGGGGGTATCATGGGTGAAACAGTATACTCTGTTATGTCCATGGTACTTCTCATGTCTATAGGCGACGGTTACCACTTTCCATCAGTTGGGCCGTCAGCTTGTTTGCCATTCTAAGTTGTATAAAAAAAAGATTGAATGAATGATGAAGAATGAATGTGGAAGTTGTAAAAGAGGTCTGTTTGAATCGAAGCATTTGGCGTTCTATTGTTTCTGCCTAATGGAAGACAGGCGTGACAGATATGTATGTATATATAATAAATAAAATATTAAAATAAGAGGATGTATTTCTATCTAGTTCACGAGGTTTGGAAGTAGTTAACTGTGTGGGGTGACATTTATTGAAATCATTTAAATTATTTATTGGTCAATTCCTATCATCCCAATCGCTCTACAATAACACCTTAGGTAGTTCTTTTCCGGAAAAGGTAGAAAAAATTTTACTCCTTCATAAGGACCACATAGTGCGCCGGTTTCTCTTCCCAGAACACAACTCCGGTCGACTATGCTTGGATTTTAATGTACATACATAAAAACGTAAACTGTAATTTAAAAACTATTGCAGAAGCGTTCCGTGCGCCGATGTTCCGCAGCGGCGCTGACAAGAACGGCTTCTCGATGGGTGCCTATAATAACTTCAAGGAAGTGTTCGGAACTAGTCCGAACCTTTGGATGCTGCCCGTGTTCACAAGGTAACAAAACATCTCTTTTTATAATTGAGTGTTTGCACATTAGTGGAGAAAGCGATGGTGGATTTACATGTTTGGCATTCGATGCAAGTCCCAAGTGTTTTGCTAGGCAAATATTAAATCTATGCACGTTAAGATTGCAAACTTATGCAGGATTAAATATAAGGAGGGGCTATGTAGAGAATGTAGAGTAAGTTTCAACCAATAGTCATTTTGAAAAGGGGAAGGAAAGATGTTTGGTGTTTATGCTAATATATTTATGTTTGTGGTTTGCCATGCGTGTAAATTTCACATAACAAATAATGTGTTAGTGATAAAGTTCCTGCAAACTTAATTCTGTTTATATGGGCTTCCAGATACATTAAGTATTTGATAAAAATGTCTATGGTAATTACTAAAACTACATATTACCTATATAAATACAATTTACAGTGATGATAGGAAATAAAAAAAAAACTTTTGTAGTAAAAAATTTAATTGGGTCAAATTTAAAATATATATAAAGACTATAACAGCGAATGTAGTTTTTTAAGTAAATAAATCTATCGTCATTTTAGATGTTGTGGTCAAGGTTTAATAAGTTTTGAAATCTTATTCATATAATCCTGTAAAATATTATAGCAACATGATGGCATGCATGTGTAACACATAGATACCTCAATATAATTTAATCGGTTAATATTAAAATGTGTGATCTAATGATGTGTGCATGATTATAAATGTGTGAAAAAAGAAGTGAATGACATACTCTAACCAACGACAAAAGAATGGTTTCAACTTACAAACGAAATGTATGAAATTTATATACTCAAATACATGTACTTACCTTTTTTGATACATTGATTACCATAATACTAACGTTCTAACATGCAGGCATGCTTACTAATATATAATTGAAACTACTTGAATATGTATGTAAATATTTCATACATAAAATCTAACTAATATAATAAAATTGTAACTAAAAGATGTCTGTAAGTGGGAAATATTGAAGAAAAATATGGGATATGTAAATTTTTTAAAATTTTGTCTATCTGTTCAGGTATACCTGAAGTCTAATTTAAAATCTGGTTTGTTTTATCTTCACGCTCTATCTAGAAGTTGTTTATTTAATTGGTTTTCCTACTTTTGAAATCCGTGCGTACACAATAGCGGACAGAAAGCTAGTCTTTAAAAAATATAAGTGCATTTAAATAATAATCATTAATATCTGCTTCATTCATAATGTATGGAATTTGAATTAACATCCGTGATGCTGCTTCTGAAGAGTTATATATATATTATATACAAAAATGTATTACATTCAGTATTTTTGTATGTAAAAAAGTGTTGGTTTTCCTTTTACAAATAAATAAATTTTATATTTTTAAATATTTTTAAGTAAATTGAAACTTATTTAGAATCAGCATCAGTACTGTCTCTATTTTCATTTGATTATACTACATACAAATATATTTAAATCACTAATTACTTACATTTCAATGCATTTAGTTCCACATGCACCGCTTTTTCACGAAGGTAATGTCATCTTTGATACTATTCCTATATATAGTATAACTGTTATTTATTTATGTATACACCATATATATATACAAAAACCTTGTTACGATAGCATAAATCTAATTATAATTATATTATGATATTTAAATGTAATAATATGTAAAAGAAAGTTGAAAAAAAATGTATATAATAATATAGCGCTTTAATAGCGCAGGTATTGATTGATTTCTCAACGTTTCTACTATAACATACATCATAAAACACTGTTTTTTAACACCTATCACGGTTCGAAATAGTAAGTACAGTTGAAATTCTTCCACTATTTCCAATATAAATCGTTTTATCAGCCTCGGGGATGGGTGCGAATTCCCGGTGCGCCGCGAACACCAACTTCAGACGTTCACGACCCCACAGGAGACTAACGGGTACGAGTCAATGGGCACCACGCGGTCAAGGTCAGACCTCATGGACGGACGCCCCTCAGCCGATATTAGACACATACCTTGAGTATAATAAACGCACAAAATCCAACCTTAAAATCGGATTAGATCGCCAGTTGAGGAAGCGTGCCAAAATTAAATTATTTCCAGAATTTATTCTTTGTTACGATTCGAAAGGGCCCATTATTATCACAATGTAATATTAATATTTTTTTTATTTTTAATATAGTTCTATTATATCTTAAATTGTTAATGTCCTTAATTTATCATACGTTCTTAGTTATTTGTAATTATTACTTTTAGGTTATTTTTTTTTAACAAAATACTAATTAAGCATGGTAATATCGGTACCGCACCAATATTTATATATTGAATTTCTCTCGATATTAATGGTGGTAAAAAGGTCATTATCCATTTCGATATCGCACGTACGGATCGAATATATTCATTTGTATTGGGTTCTTCATTTTAATATTGTATATTGGATAACAGATATTTAATATATATGTTATTGAGCCAATATATAGATATTGTTTTCTAAATATATAGTTATTCTTATATATTACCCACCCTTAGTACTAATTGGGATACTTGTTATATTTACAACAATTGCCACTAATATGTATCCATTGTAAGTGTATATAGATAAATTTATATGACTCGATTATTTATTATCGAGTTACAAATTCAATTAAGAATTAGTTGCATTATAAAAATTTTGGAAATATGTTTCCATGTGATTTATACACTGTTTTATACATTATATATAAATGATACTTAAACATTAGTACTTTGCTCAAGTTATGTGTGAATGGTCGGCTGACGGGTATCTGATATAAAAAAAATATCTTTTCAATTTTGTAATGAATGAATTCAAATATCGAAATAATAATTATATACATAAGTATATATTTGCAAATTGCTTTTTAATGCATTTATAATTTCTGAGCTATATACAACACACAAGACTGATAAAGTTAGAGAGAGTACTGTTTATATTTTGTAAGTATGTTTTTGCAGAATAAACTGTTTTGTTCTTTTATTTTGTTTTTTATTTTATTCACTAGTTACGTAATTCGCCGGGGGTACATATTTTTTTCTCACAAGCTTTTAATAGCAGCTTCGTCTGCACATTGGCAAGCACATGTGTTCTGTATAAAACGAAATAAAATATTTGCTGTTTTTAAATAATGATGATTTCTAATTATCTATTTTAATATTTACTACATTATCCTAATCTAAGCCAATTTAATGTATACACATATAAATATCAATAACTGATATTATAAAGAGAATATTGATTGTTTGTTTGTAGATCAGTTTTTTTTTTTTTTAAATGGGGTGAGAATACTATGGTTACCCCGCCTGCGCTATCGGTATACGCTGGGTAGAGCAGAGTTTAGTCTCTGAAGGTGCTGAACCAATTATAAAAAATTACCAATAAAACTACCATAGTAACATACAGGTTCGAGGTTTAATAAATAGATATTTAATAATGCTCAATAAGATAACAATGAAGAATTATTTCCGAACTGTAGTCAATATCGAGCAAAACAAAGCTTTTTAGTTAGCGACAAGCGTACATACAGCAGCTTAAGCGAACAAACACGCTTGATATTAGCAAGCAAAAGGATACAATAATATATTGAATTAATCCATTTCTCTTTCACGTCTGTGTGCTGTATATTTTATATTAATACGTCGACTTTTCAAATATTCTCTTACTCTCTCAGTCTTTTATTGCATGTACTTGAGTGCTCCATATGCATTTTTTATTACTTTTAATTAGACATTGATAATGTAATTAATATATTTATTAAGTTTTTCCAAATACGGTTAGTATAAAAAATATGCATATATAAATATAATTATTTGATTAGAATTATTTTGGTTTATTCCACTACTGTTAGTATGTGTGTGACTGCCAACACCCTATGATTGACCGCCACTATTACTACCAGAATATTAAAAAATATTATTATTATACAATTCTGCTAGTAATAGTCAATCTTCGAGTATTGGCGGTCACACACGTACTAATGGTAGTGGAATTAAACAAAATAATTCTATAATAACCCGTGATATGGAATTCCGCAAGATAACACCTAATTCAGTAAATCATAAATAAATAATAAAAGAGGGACATATATGTATGCATAACTAATGTTTTGAATATTAAATTTTACGTTGTATATGTAAGCGTACCGAACAAGTATATATATGAACAAAATGCTTTTTAATAAATATACTTAAATCCAATTAGCTCCATGTAATTGAAACGTTAAAAAAATTGTACAGTCTCATGCATTTTTGTGTATCTGTGGCACTCAAATGTTTATTTTTCTTCTTCTTCTTCTTCTTCTTCTCTTTTATATTTTATTTATTTATTTTTAAATCATAAAATGACCCCGAAGATTACATTAGAAAATTGAGTTTGTGTTACTATTTTAGCGCAGAGGTGGGCTACGAGACTGAGAGATGGAGACTTTTCCCCAGAAAGGGCCGGACTGTACCACAAATAGTATAAGCATTAACACAATTTTTAAATTTAATTAATTCTATTTCGATTTCACAATATTTTTATTACAATAAAATATATTCAAATTAACATGCTTTTCATTCATCGGCAAAATCATCCTTTTTGGATAATATATATTCATATATATGTTCAAAATTATTGTCATTCACTTCTTTTTTCAGAAAAGTATTATTCTCTATAATTAAACGGTGATGTGTCCCTTTGCATGCTAATTTGATTCGGCAAAATTAGTTGTATTTTTGTAGTTGCTTAATATGTAGTCAGTACCGCCATACTGCGTGAAACCAATTTAAACAACAATACATTTTATGATATTAGTTAAATAGGCCTATTTAAAAATGAAACTATTTATATTTGAGACATAAAATAGCCCTAACAACAAAAAAAAAACTTGTAACAGAATTAACGACACTTCTATTAATTTAAAATAAATAAAAATTGTATAATAAATTAACATACCTTTTTATTTATATGTATAATAGTAATAGTAATTTAGTATCAAAAGTAAAGATACTATTTTATTTACTTGTTATATTATATAAAACAGTTATAACTTTAACTATTACATACACATTTTGTCACTTTCAAATTGGGAATTTGACGCAAAGGAATGAGATAAAACAGTTCAATAGCTAAAGTAGGTTTAGAGGTTTTATGTTTTTTATGAATAAAGAGATGTGACTCTAATTGACATTAATTGTAGGAACTCCTTTCAAGAATAGAGTTAATTCTGTTACATTATTTCTATTGTATTTTTTCATATGTGACAATCTGATAGATTATGACCATATTATAATTTGTATCAAGTATATAAACTGTTGTCATTTAGATTACGGGATTTTGCTGTGTAGCAATATTAGTTTATTTGCACCGCTGGATTAGATATTTATTTGGACTAGACCATATATGTTAGTTGACACGAGTTATTTGCAACCTGCACTTTATATTAGTGGATGGCTGAAAGCAAACTAGATGTATTACACTGCGGTTCTAATTCTAATTTCAAAAATGGTTTATCATTTAAAATCATTAAAACATTGCAACAATAATTTTCTATACAAGTTAATCTCAACCTTGTTACTATACATATGTTATTATTTTATGTTGATATATGGAAATAGCCTAGGAGATGGCATCGTGTATCCTCTGCCTCAACAAGACGAAGATACAGAATCCTTGCTAAGCTCCGAGAGGTGGGAACGCTGGGGCGAACGATCGAGGCCCTTCGACGAAAGGGAGAGCTCATCTTACGACGAACTATGAGTTTAAATACGGCCACCAAAGTGTTTGGTGCAGGCTTCGCAAATTAAAACCTTCATTTATCGCTGTCAAATACCAACATGTAAATTGATTTATTGAATCCTAACAAGTCTTATTCTTAGATTTTTAAATGAAGTCTCTCCAAAGCTAGATTTTTTATTGTATATAAATAATTTCAATTTTTTTAGGGTAAATTGTGTACTATTATATGGACAATGGCATCTTTCGATAGAAATGTTTTGTGTTCGTATAAGAAAAATGCCGGATATTGCAATCTCGTTCTATCCATGCATGCGGCAGCGATAACGTGTCTGTCGATTGATTCTTTATCCATTTGTTTCTAGGGTCAGACATTTTATGTAATGTAATATATCAATCAACCAGTTTTAACGATCTCCCAAATAGTCAAGAAATCCACTGACAGTAATCAATAAAATCAAAATGAAATATTTCCATTATAACATCTTTTTTTAATCTATTTTTTTTTATTTCTACAGTAAAACTATAATAAAGAATCTAGTTTTAGATGTGAAAGATCTTATTTATTTTATAGGCTTTACGACATTCGATAAGTTAGTTACATTTCATAGTGATTTATGTATAAAAGTTGATCACGAATTTTGTGTGTATTCTGTACTTAATTCATCGAGTACTTAGAGTCTGTAGTAGAATTGTTTCGAGTGTCTACTGTAAATAAGCCTGCACGTTGTTATGTGGCCGTGTTAGTATGTGCCATTGTAAATGTATGGACACGTATCGTCAGATGTTTTGGTGCTGAATAAATGGTCCCAAAGGCGGATACAGCGAAGCAATGACCATGTGAGATTAATATAGTGAGCAACAATAACCAACAAACGCTTACTTCAAAATTTCTACAATATTAAAATAAGATTATATATTATATATATAAGAAAAATGTATGGCTTTTGAAGATGTACATAAATTTATCTCTGACTGTACTTAGTTGGTACCAATAATTTGAGACTGTTTTAAAAGATATATCTTTTAAAATGTATCTACCTATATGACTGACAAAATAAATCTGCTATAAGATGACTCGCCGCTAAAATAGATTCATTCCATCTATAACCGATTTTCCATAGTATTAATAGTAAAAAAAAAGTGTTAGACCTGGTGGTTTATGCTGTCTCAATATAAACTTATACTTTTATATTTATTCCTGTTTTTAGCTTTTGAACGCCGTATCGTTACTACTTTGTTCGCTGCATATATATTGTGTTAGTGTTACACAGTATTTCCGTGATACATTCACACAAAAAATATGACTGTGAAACAATTATAATGATTAGGTTTTTTTTTTTTTAATTAAAATCATTTCTGTGCCGTGATATACTTTCAGGATATTAAAATTGCTACTTCAATTGAACTCTATTTAATTGATATATACAGACCGTTCTAATAGCTAAGACTTGTCGTAGCTTAACAATGTCACATACATAATATTACGGCGGTACAATAGTAGTAAAAGAAGTTACGCCACAAAGTTCAACGCTCTTTGTGTTTGAAAGGAATAAGAGCTAAAGTAAAAGTTTAGTTTTATGTAAGTAGCTAATAGTGCAATAGAGACGGGGAGATAGTTTAATAAAAATGAAGTAAGCATACCTCTACTGTATTGTACACACACGTATAAAGATTACTACCTAATTATATTTTAATAAAATTTTGCTCTAATTTTATTTATTAGTTAGAAATAATCTGCATTAAAGTTTCATTTTAACTTATAGCCAAGCAGTTGTATTTACTTGAATGTTTTAAGTTGAAAGGTTAGGTTAGATATGACAGTGAAATTACTGTATCATCCTAATACGTTAGTTGTCAAAAATGGTAACGTATGAAGGGTTTATGAGAGTCACGATGAGGTTGATTCTGGGATGTCATTCTATAAACCTAACTTTAATTTTTTTTTTATATAAATTGCTTTCTTTATACAAAGGTAGTTACATTACAGGGTTTGGTATCTCCTGTTAAGCAAAGTTAAATTGGGTATCTTAATTTAACTTTACGAAAGTTTATAGATCATCACAAATTTAATTTATAACAATTATGGCTTAAATTTTTTAAAGTTTTATATTAATTCTTAGAATAAAAATTTTCAATACTTAATTGTGGAGATAGGTTTAAAAAATGACACATGAGAATCGGTAATGTGTCGTCTCATATCTGTATCTATACGTGACTCAATTACCATTTTTTATCAGGCGAGCTGTCAGATTGTTTGCCATACTAAATAATTTAAAAAAATCTTTATTCGTGATTGTACTAAAGGTTTACTGAGGTATATGGAAGGGTGTTCCAATGGCGTTGTGTACTTCCGCTTGATCCTATGTTACTTTGGTATAGGTATTAACACCATTGTAAGATAAAAATTAGAGTTTTGCCCCAGAATAAATAATTCTATTCCAATTTTTTTTTTCTATCCCAGTATGTAGAACGCTTTAAAAATTTTTTCAATATTCCCTGATTTCTATACAGTGCGTAAGTGTGTAACTATATAAAACTATAGTTTAATTTATAATATAAGAATTGTAAATACAAAGTGCTTTTAAAGTTATCATAAGACTGCTGCGAAGGGGTATATAAGTTAGATTAATTATATATTGTTGGACGTTTAACACCAATCAAAAATAAAGTGTGTCTCTGTATTAATGTGTAAAGTACAGCCAGCAACAAAAGTAGACCATTTCGCCAAATCGGGCCTTAATATTATAACCCAATAGATTTAATATTTACCAACTTTTGTTGTTGATCGTACTGCTGAGATAATTAGGATATCTACTCGTACATGTGTTGCAATTTTGTACTTTCGTCAGTTACATTGAAGTATCACCGCATTAAGTACATATTAGAAGTTTTAAGAAAAATAATATATACGTCTCAAAAATCACAAAATATGTGTTACATAATAAATTGTTGTTTTATGAAGTAATGGATATATATAAATGACTTGTAAATATATTTATGTTGCAGTTTTAGATATATTATTTAAAATTTCAAGGTGCCAATATGTAGAACAATCACATTCCGATCCATCTATTATTATAATTACGATGTAGATTTGTTTACATTATTTCAGTATTCGTAAATTTAGAACATGTAAAGTTTACATATAATTTCAAAAATATATTTTATCTAGGTATTATATACTAGGTAGATTATGCATTTGGACAATGTACATTTTATAAATTAACAACTGTATAGAGTTTGCTGATTGATAATTTAAGAGTTAATTATTGTGTTAGTAAACTAAGTAGTTTATTTAAAATATTTACAGTAAAAAAAAATCACATGCTTACATTTTGTATAAACTTGTTTACATAGTTGTGTGTTACACCGTTAGGGCTATTCAACTTCTAACGTCACACGGACGAGATTGAGTCACATCTATTTATATGCTTAATATGTTTTTGTGTAAAATTAATACAGCGACCTATACCGATACCAATTACCCTAATATGTATGAGCATAACGTATATACATTTAATAATAACTTTATTTTATTGCACTAGATCAGCCTATGATATAGAATTGACTTCACATTAGGCTAAGCCTGCAAATGTACATCATGTAAAGAATTATTTCGTAATGGTGAGATTGGTCATTCGAAACTTGGGAGCATCTAAATAAGAACTCTGTGAATGGACTTTTTAAGCACGTAAATATATATGTCTTATAGTATCCTGCAAATTATACGAAACTAAATCTTTAACATTTTATAATACATTAGGTTAATTATTTTTGCTATTATATCCTTTGTGTTAAAGAACTATAATTTTAAATTCATATCACGTGTTAAATAACTTAGAGGTGTTCTTATTTGCGAGTTACCGACTTGGTCGGACTATTGCCTTTCGTAATTCTATCTTTGCATATGTCACGATCCTTAGTAACTGTTATTTACGATATTAAAAACAACTTTTACGGAACATAAGAAATAGCAATTAAGAATAAATATCTGGGTTCGACTCTCGATTTGGTCCACGACGTTTTCAAAATGGCTTAGGCAAGTTAGAAGTTGCATTTTTGGATGTTTGTCCTGATTTCTTTTAGATCATTATTTTTGGGGCAATAAAAATAATAAATTTATTACAGTGCAACAAAACCTTTTAGTAATTTAGTTAACTTTCTATAATGTAATTTCTTTTATCCTAGTCATTTAGTACAATTACCTACGCGTAAATGAATTTTATGGTTGATCAATGTACATCAGTGAAATCGGATGTAACGGTGATAATAAAAACAAATGAGAAATTAATATTAAACTTACATAATCTTTGCCTTATATAATTATTTGGCACATTATAATACGATACAACAAAATATTTGATTTCTGAATTGTCCAAATTTTAATATGAAACCTTATGCACTGACGACTTTTCTTTGTATCGCTGGATTTATTCACTCAATTGTCTATACAAGTGAGTCTTTATATATACATACTTTAATTGTAATCGATGCCCAATGTGTGTATTTTTTATACACGTATCTCGATATGACAGTTTTATTGTCACAATATATAATAAGTAAGCACTATAAAGAAAATGATTTTAAATAAGTAATGACAATTGTACGTCAACACACTTTAACTATGATATCGTGATGATAAAATTGTGCTGCGCCATACGCATTATAAAAATAATAGACATGCAAATTAGTTCATATTGTCATAATAGATTTACCTTACTTACATTGAGCAGTGGTTTTGATTCTATTTTACTGTAATTTGCTTTCGAGTCTTGAATGTAAACAAAACAGTCTTCAGACCTGTGTGTAATTAATAGTTTAAAATTATGTTAATATTAGTAAACGAACTTAGAACATAATATTTATTCAACATTCCTAATTTTATTCTTATCATTCCATTTTATACTTTTTTTTTTTTATAACAAAATGTAGTCTTAAGTTGAATGGTGCATTTGATAGTGATCATGCGTTAAATAGCTCTTTTTGTAGTTCTATCTGAAATTTAATGGATTGTAAAAAAAATTTACGATTTTTATAGCCACCTTTGTTTTTGAACTGAAATGGTTGCAATATTTCAATAAAATTCAGATTCATACAGTATTTTTTCTTTTTTCGATTCAATCTATAATTTATCGGTTTCAGTTTGCGGTAAGTTTATTCGCGTCTTAAAAATTCGTTAATTATTATGAAACACTATAAAAGTTCACGATGTTATTCATGCCTAGAGGTGATGAGGTCGTCACGTATAGTCGTAATCTTTATCCTCGCCACTTTCTTTAACCTTCAACTGTCTTCGCAATCTTTCTCGACTTCTTGACGCTGAACTAGTTAGATTTTCATATATTGTGCCCTAATGAGTATCGATCAATACCCGATCAACTCAGTAGGTACTTATAAAATTCAAGAACCTTACTACCAGACACCACACTCGTGATTCTATTACATTTGCGAGAGTAGCATTATATATATATATTAAAAAAAGCAGTTTTATTATGTATGTATTTAATAAATCAATAAATTGGTGGGTACATTAAACATTAAATCTCGATCGACTAAAAATCACAGATAATCTGACGGATTATAATAATAAAAATAAACAACGATGAACTTTATTTATAAACGGTAACAATACGTCACAGTACAGGATTTACAACATATTTACTGCATTGTAATTGTGTATATAACACTGCATATGCATACGATAATATCTAATAGGACCTTAGTTATACAATGAAATCACATCAAATCACAAACAATCACAACGAGAAAGGTTCCCAATATTGAAGGAACAATAGTTTTAAAATTGAGTTTTATGTATTTACACATAGTAGACATTCTGTGCGAAGCACAAATACTGCTCATATACTTACTCATGACGGACCTATTGAGAATACTTTACCTTTTCTTAACAACAACTTTTACTATTTACTATATTTACTTATATGTATTTACCCCACTGGTATTAAGTTCATAAACTAATCAAAGAGATGTTATAGCTCGCTATACAATACTAGTAGGTAATTTGTGTATAATAAAAACTTAATTCCTATTTAACTTTTAACCTAGTTGAATAGATGGATAAACGAGAATCTAAACAGAGAATAAAAAATGGTACAGGTTTATTTATAACACTAATAATATCATTCCAAATGTCAAAAAAAAAAATTATTATCAATAATATTTCCATTAAATTAGGCCCTAAAACCTATACGCTGCGCGATGTAGCACGGTGCGGATAACATTTCATATTTAGGCAATTTCTTTGTAAATGAAGTATTGAATGTTTAGTAGAATCGAAGTCAATCTAATAATCATAATTCTTTCTCATAATGAAATATTTTACAAAACTCATTTAGTTTAGTATGTTAATTTAGTTTTTTCAATTTAACACTTTATATTGGAATCAGTTTGTTTTCCATACAACACAAACATTTAATCAGTATGTCTGTTTGTATTGCTGTGGGAGTTTTCTATGTGTAATATGCTATATATTTACGAACAAATTGTTTAAATATTTTTATCGGTTGTCTAGTACAGTTGCTCAGTTTTGGATTAAATGGTGCTCTGTATATGCCCAAGATATTGACGTAGTATAACGTACCTATTAATCACTGATTGTACCACTGATAAATTGGTAATTTAACCTCAAAAACGAGATGTATAACTACTTGTTATACATGTGTGTGATTTTGTAAACTTGTGCATGTGATATTTCTGAATTTATATGGGATTGAAGTTGAAAAAAGCATAATTTCACGAAAATAGAATAAATACAAAAACATGAGCGCCCAGCTTATCTATTTCGCTATAACTATTATAATGTTTTCTTTTAAAATGCCAATTTGTTATATACTTTATAATTTTTAGGTCCAAGATTGTTTATACATGCTATAATTTTAATAATCTGTCACCGGTCAATATTACAACGCGTAGTTTTTAGTTGTTGTATGGTGGTACATCATTTATTACTTAGAAGCTTTAAAGTTAAAAGTTGACAATTTATTTCGGAAAATATTTTAAATACTAACCCTGTAATTGGGAATTTTAATTCTATTATATCTTAATTTTAATTTACATTAGACTGAAAAATTTAACCTTCCTAAACCTAAATCGGACAAGATTCGAACTATGGCAATTTCGTATGTTTGTAATTTTTCTATTCACCAGAAAACAATCAGCTTTGCTTGTTCATATAGACAAACTATAAAATGTAAGTAACACTTTATAATCGTTTATAAATCACTTTTTTAATAGAAAAATTAATATACAAGTATACCTTTAAAACAATTTACAACTTCGGTTTTATTATCTTCTGTTTTTAAAATTCTGCTAACGTCAAGTCAGTCATTAGTATGTACGTAATAATTTATTATTTCAAAAAACGGCAGCAGAAGTGGCAACAACCAACACGTGACACATACAAAATATAATTTATAATTACACTGAACAATCAATTATATATTTAAATACTCAATGTTGCCAAAAGCTCTCTAAGGTGTTTTGGATCGTTTAATTTCATAACATTTCTGAATGCACGTACACAGGTTGCCTCTTTCTCCAATTTTATGGATATATCGTGTCCCCGTCTGGTGATTTCCTTGGGTATACCGGCCAGTCGGGCCGCGTTGAATCCATAAGATTTGGGGCACGCTCCTGGGGTAAGTTTATAGAGGAATGTGATAGTCTCCTCTGGGATCTGGTCCTCGCTATCCGGAGTTGATTCATCAGTTTCCACCATACATGCCTGTGGATTAAACAATATCATATAGAAATAAAGACAAAATATAGGACAAAAGTTTACAATATTTTAAAATTACTTTTCATAGTTGGAAATACTTAAAAAACAATATAAAGTTGCTGATTTCTGTCGAGCGTTAGGAGTATGGCGACACCTATAAAGTAATGTGGGAAAAAGATCAATAATAGGAATTAGGTTAATAATAGAATAGAATTTAAGCAAGAAACGTGTTACGGAAATATTTGCCAATACATTTTCTCTACCTATGCTGTTGTGAAATTTTGTAAAGATGTTCATAAGTCACATTCACACATAAAGAATGAACAAAGATCTAAATATAATTGACAATATCCTAGGATATTTTCTATGGATATCATTATTAACATATTATCATATACAATCTGATCAAATGTACTGACCATATGTCCAAGTATAACGGCAGGCTGGAGGCTTAGCGTCCGCACGAGGGCGTGGTAGTGCGTGGAGAACACCGTCCTACATCCCCGCTGCGCTAGTTCGACCGCAGTCGCCGCTGCCAGCGCTGCGCCATCGTAAGTCGACGTTCCGCGACCTGACAAGAAAATTAAAAATAAAGCGCTGCGCTAATGTGGATATATATCGAGAGCCTCAATCATTTTTTTATATGATAAGCTATAACTTATGTTTATTGATATATTAATAGGTATTGCATAGTGTTTTCCCCCCTATGAGGGAGACCTATGTTCAGCAGTGGACACTTAAAGGCTAATGTGACGTGTGGCTAGAATGGGATGACATCTATTATTTTTTTCTTTTTAAGATAAGTTTTAATTATCTCTCAAATAAAGCTATAACTAAAACTAGCTGTGTAGTCCTGGTATAAAATGGGCCATCCCTTCCTTTCTCATAGATAGACGACTAAGCATGGGTAGCACCAGCGTCCCTCTTAAACATTACCAAAAGTCTAACTGTGATTGTCAACCCGCCTGCCAAATATGGCAACTACTAACAAACCCACTTATGGGGGAGGCCTATGTGTATTATTACCGATTTGGAGAAAAAATATATAACATTTGGGTAAAAATAAAAAAAATTGCATCTACCACGAATCCTGTTAAATAGGACACGAGACACAATAGTACCTAATTGAATTTAAAAAATCGGTGCAAAATTGAGGAAAGTAACTTCATAAAAAACATATATGATCTGTATATATTAATTTTCTACCACAAGCAAATGTGTACGTAACCGAGCTCGACTCGAGAGCGTAGTAATGTATAATAGTACTATGTATAATCTCGTTTCCTCTTGTCGGTGCAACTAATTCATGCATCTTCCTCCAGCCAGCTCTATCCCAGGCCATATCCTTTATCTCCCTATACGACATGACGCCTAGTGTTACTATGTATACTTTGTATAATATAACTTATATTTTGCTATTACCTAATTCATCAAGTAAAACTAATGAGTGCACAGTCGCGTGTTTCAATATAGCTGCCGTTTCGTTCATCTCGACAAGGAAGGTAGACTGTCCCGAGAGTATGTCGTCGGACGCGCCCAGACGGGTGAAGATACGGTCCACCACGCTGAGACTGCACTCCTGCGCTGGCACATAGCTGCCCTGGAATGAATATAAGACACATCCGATTATATATACACCTGCCCTGTAATGAATATAAGACATCTGATTACATATACACTAATAAAGAGTTAATGAAGCATATTATATGTTAATTACTATTATACTTTGAGTTTTAATTAAATAACTATCATTTCTGAAACAAATAAAAGACGCACAAAACAATAGTTACTTTATTTCTAATCAATTTTTAATTCTAACAATGTTAATTTAATCAAAATGACATTTTACTGAACTGAATCTAAAGATATTTGATCATAGGTACTATTCTGAACTTATTAAATTACATATTCTGGATTAAAAAATTACAGAAAAAGTTTTACTGTACTAAACAATCAAATTTGAGTCATATGCATGATGATATATTCTCATCTGCTATTTCATCCAAAGAGCAGATTCTCTATTCGCCTGTATATTTTTGTATTTTGCACGATGCTTTTCTTAATGTAAACAGATTCTGATGATTTGAATTACATATCAAAAGATGTCCTATATACTGACGCGTTAGTTCAATAGTAAAGTCAAGAAGGAATAAAAAAAATAAGATGCAGCGTTACCAAATGCGCTAGTACGGTGAGCAGCGCCACCTGCCGCATAAGTGTGGACTTGCCGCCCATGTTGGGCCCAGTTAGCAGCAGCAGGGTGCCCTCTTCGCCCAACTTGGTGTCGTTGGGAATGAATTCGTTCACGATCGGTATGCACGGGTGACGGCCTTCCACTATGTTTATGTATGGCTACAAATTACAAGGAGATTTAGATAAGAATTACAAGTAAATGCTATTCGATAGTAAGCGCATCCCTTGAGAACGGCTGAATCGATTTAACTTGTTTTTTTATTTGTTCAAAGTAATCCAATTAGATTTTAGGAAAAGAAAATAAAATATAGATTTGACAATTTTGAATCGACTAGAAAGAAGTAAATTTATAAAACTTAGCCCAGCCTTCATGTCTCATATCTGAATAGTTAATCGACTTGAAGGAACAAAATGAATATGACAAGATATTGAATAAAATACAATTTAAATAAATAATGAACTATACAATCACAGCAACCACCTGGTTATCTAGTATGCCCTATAATATATATTATTAAAAACTAGCCTACCGTTGCACTATGAAAATGGTATAGTTACATCTACGTACAAATTTACTTTTTACATAGTTTTTAAAATAACAACAAATTTTTACTTTTTTTTATACTATGAAGGTGGTGAAAAAGAATACATCCCATCTGATGGTTAAAAGGTTACTGTAGCCTATGAACACCTGCAAATACTAAGGGTGTCACGTGCACGTTGCCGATCCTGAAGAAACCTTAACACACCCCCTTTTTTTGAAGAACCCCTTACTATAGTCTCTAGAGAATACATCGGCGGAGAGCTCATTCTATAACCTAAACGTTCGCGAGAGAAATTGTACAGGTTGCGTGTGAGGATAAATTCTGTCGATGGCAAGTGGCGTGATAATAAAAGGTGGCTGTGGGTATTCTTTTAAACAATTCCTCAAAACATTTTGACTAAAGGGCTCGGTGCCGCCTAAGAGCTTGGGATTGTCGATAATTTTCATAGCCCATTTTTGAACCGAGTCAAGAGGATCAAGCTAGACTCCAGGTGGTATCTATCTGTATAAATTCTAAATAATAATGTTATTGTTAAAAAAAAGTCTAAATCGCAACCTTCTTGTCGGCGTTGAATGTAACTTCAGGCAAACACACATCGCCGGTCTGCTGGCGAGCGAATTCCGTAAAAGCGAGCAAAATGTCCAGGGTGGACAAGCACTGCACCGCTGCCTCCCATTCGTCGTAGTGTGATGAGAATTTCTCGAATATCCGACGGCTCAAATCCTTCAGCACATTGGTCTTTTGTTCTTCAGCGGCTATCATCCGAGCTAGGAGATCCTAATAATAACAGACATTGGATTTTGAGGTGTTATTTCTCTTTTTAAATAATTTGCAAATTTTTAAATAATTTGAATACATGGTAAGGTTATAGACTAATCCCCAAATTTTTTTGCAGTGTTTATACAATTTCAGAAAATGTACTGCATTGCCCCAAACACAGTATTTTCAAACCATAATTTGCTTGTCTAATTTACCTTTGTTTTCTCTGTAGAGTATCTCTTGAAACCCTTGCGTGCACCTTCTAAGTGATAATCGGGTCCAGCTTTAGAAGCGGCATTCTGTGGCACTTCAATCTGATACCTCTTCTTATCGCTTCCCACATATGACAACTAAGAAAGAAATTCGTGGAAATGTAGAAAAATAGTGTCTTTTATTTAATCAACTTGGCAAATAAGCAAATTGTCATCAACAGCTAATCTTAATAATGCACCATGAATTACATTTATAGTACACTAGCTTTTACCCGCGACGACGCTAACAGTTAACAAACAAACCCACTTTCACATTTATAATATTAGTAAGGATTTTGAAGACAATATAATTTATGATTTATATATGCAGTCGCTAGGTGACTGCATTTAGCTAGTTATCGTACTTTGTTAGCCTTTATATGCAACTTCGAATGGCAAATAAGCTGACAATGCACCTGATGGAAAGTGGTAACCTTCACCTATAAACATGAATATCATTGTGAATATTACGGGCACAGTTATACCCACATAGGTGACCCTGCATGTGTTGCTATTGAAGAATAAGTTGTTACACTAGATATAAACAGATAAAAATATTTTTGCATACTCGTAATATAAGAATTAAGGCGTAAAAATAGTTAAAATTATTATTACATTAAAAGGTAAGTAACATCTTATATAAATCAGTTCTAGCTTAGGTTGTTATAGCTTCCCTTATGGTACAGTTGTGGAGAAACAAAGTGTTAAAAATCAACTAACTCTGCATTTGAAGTACTTCTCCTGTTCGGCGAGATAATCTTTCAATTCCTCTTGTATATCTTTTATGGCTCTCAGAGTGCTATCGTATTCCTGATCAACTCCCTGTTCTGGCTCTATACGACCTTCTTTCTCAGCTTCCTTTTGGTTGAATGCTTCCTATTAAAATTGAGAATATTTTTAAATTTAGTTATGCAACTTGAACAAACATAGTAACCAATTGAAAATCCTGTTGCTAGCAATATACCTAATCAGAGTCGACCACCACATAGTTCTCTGTAGAAACTATCGTGGTTAATTCTTGTTAAATTCACAATGGGCCAACTGGCCTGCTTTCATCCTCACCTATCATCTTTCACTTGTGTCCCACCAGCATTTACCAATAGTGCAGACTGGGTTACTATTACCCTTTTATCCATTAAAAAAAAGTTTGCAATAACAATAAGACGGACTTAATGCTATAAATATCTATAACATAATAGAAACGGCGCGGCCGGCATTGCTCTTCCTCACGGAGACACAGATATCCCCTCCTAACGAAACATCATACCTGACCTACCCGGGGTATAAGCTTGAACATTGTTTTGTTTCGCGTGCCGGTGTATGTGCGTATGTCAGAGAGGATATCTGCTGTAGACGCCTTGGGACTCTTGAAGGTACGGACCTGTCCATTCTATGGCTGCGCGTAGATTGCAATGACCATCCCCGCATCTATGCGTGCCTATACAGGTCCCACAGCGGTAACACTGAAACCGACCAACTTATTGAGCACGTCCAAATGGCTACAGATTCCCTGCTTGAGCAGATTCCTTCCGCTGAAGTCGTGATTGTTGGCGACTTTAATGCCCACCATGCCGAATGGCTTGGTTCGCGTACAACCGACTATGCGGGAAGATCTGTTCATGACTTTGCTTTGGCTTATGGTCTGACACAGCTTGTTTCCTCGCCTACGCGAATCCCTGATGTGTTGGACCATTCACCTTCACTGCTGGACCTTCTGCTGACCACCCACCCAGACAACTATGTGATCTCCGTCGAAGCCCCGCTTGGATCGTCGGATCACTGTTTGGTGCGGAGCGAAGTGCCTCTTACGAGTCCGACTCCACCTCGTTCTACGGGTAGACGTCGCATTTGGCACTACAGGTCGGCAGATTGGGATGAGATGCGGATTTTTTTCGCATCTTACCCATGGAGGCAGGTTTGCTTCACACTGGATGATCCCGACGCCATTGCCGATTCCATTGCTGATGTGGTGCTTCAGGGAATGGAATTATTTATTCCTAACTCTGTGGTGCCCGTCGGCGGGAAATCCCAGCCCTGGTATGGAGCCTCCTGTAGAACAGCATCTCGTCTGAAACAGGAGTGCTTCCTAACCTGGGCTAAAGGTGTGGCGTCGCGAGATCCTAACACCAGTGCTCTTAAAAAGAAGTATAACTCTGCCTCTAGGTCCTTCAAAAGAGTTATAGCCACAGCGAAGTCAGAGCATATTAGTAGAATTGGCAAGAGATTGGCTAGTTTGCCCTCTGGGACTCGAGCTTTCTGGTCTCTTGCCAAAGCTGCACAAGGGAATTTCTGTAAGTCATCTTTTCCACCTTTGCGCAGGGAGGATGACTCGTTGGCCCAGAACGCTAAAGAAAAGGCCGATCTTCTTGGATCCATCTTTGCGTCAAACTCGACATTGGATGACGGGGAGAAACCACCACCGACCATCACGTGTAGTAGGAGCTCTATGCCTGACATTAAATTCACGCATAGCTCAGTGCGTAGAGCACTTTTCTCCCTCGAAATCCATAAGTCGAGTGGGCCTGATGGTATTCCTCCAATTGTGCTTAGGACGTGCGCACCAGAGTTGGCTCCGGTTCTTACGCGTCTTTTTCGGCTTAGCTACTCATCGGGCATAGTCCCAAAGTTTTGGAAGACTGCTCTGGTGCATCCGATCCCAAAAAAGGAGATCGCTCAGATCCAGCTAACTATAGGCCCATAGCTATCACTTCGTTATTCTCGAAGGTTATGGAATCCATCATTAACCGTCAACTGCTCCGGTACCTAGAAGAGCACCGGCTGATCTGTGATCGCCAGTACGGCTTTCGACAGGGACGTTCGGCCGGTGATCTTTTAGCTTACTTAACACACCGATGGGCAGTGGCAATCGAGAATAAGGGAGAGGCCTTAGCGGTTAGTCTGGATATTGCGAAGGCCTTTGATCGGGTGTGGCATAGAGCGCTGCTTTCAAAGCTACCTTCATTTGGGTTGCCTGCGAGACTGTGCATTTGGGTCGCCAGTTTTCTCAAGGAACGTAGCATTAAGGTCGTAGTCGACGGTGCATGCTCTGATTTAAAACCTTTGAATGCTGGTGTCCCGCAAGGCTGTGTACTATCTCCGACTCTGTTTCTTCTGCATATCAATGATATGTTACAGATAAGTAATATTCATTGCTATGCGGACGACAGTACAGGAGATACATTATATACCGGTCATGCAAAGATCTCGCGGGCACATACCGATGAGTGCCGGAATAGACTTGTGTCTGAAATCGAAACTTCACTCCATCAAGTTTCGATATGGGGTGAACAAAATCTTGTCCAATTTAACCCCAAAAAGACACAAGTCTGCGCGTTTACCGCAAAAAAGACGCCGTTTGTCGTATCTCCTCACTTTCAGGGCACTTCCCTTGATAAAAAGTCAAGTCTAGGAATTCTGGGCGTTGATATATCTTGCGACGTCCAGTTTTGCGGTCATCTGAAGGAGAAGGCTAAGATAGCTTCCAAAAAGTTAGGAGTGCTCAATAGGGTGAGACGATATTTCATGCCAGAACACCGCCTGAATTTATATAAAGCCCAAGTCAGGCCGCATATGGAATACTGTTCTCACCTGTGGGCAGGAGCGCCACAGTACCAACTCCTTCCGTTAGACCGCATTCAAAGTCGGGCGGCTCGAATTATCGATAGTCAACGCCTTACTGTCCGACTTGACCCATTGAAACTGCGCAGAGATGTTGCATCTCTGTGCATCTTCTACCGAATTTATCATGGGGAGTGTTCTGAGGAATTGTTCGGATTGATACCTGCTGCTGATTTTCACCACCGTACAACCCGCCACAAACTAAAGTTTCATCCCAATCATCTGGACGAGTGGCGGTCTTCCACCGTGCGTTTTTCAAGGCACTTTCTTCCACGCACAACCAATCTTTGGAATCAACTTCCAGCAGCAGTATTTCCGAACCGATACGACAACATAACCTTCAAGAAAAGAGTATATTCCTTTTTAAAAGGCCGGCAGCACACCTGCAATGCCTCTGGTGTTGTGGGTGATCATGGGCGGCGGTAGTCACTTACCATCAGGTGAGCCGCATGCTCGTTTGCCCCCTGTGTTGTAAAAAAAAAAAAAAAAAAAAAAAAAAAATTATAATAATTGCTTCCAGCAACATCTAGGAGAAAATAAATACACAAATGCATATAGATCAACATTAAGACTACTTTGATCGAGTGATTTGTATATCTTATGTGTTAATCTAGAATAATGTGTGTTAATCTAATGTGGTCTCTGAAATCCATTCAGCCATATATCATGCACTGAGTAACAAAGATCTTTACAAAATTACACATTTATAATGTTAATAGAATTATTGCATATTACAATCGTGAACATGTACTTTTACCTTAAAAAACTTTAAAGTTTCTCTGTAGTCAGGGAATTTTCCATCAGGTCTGAATTGTGTTATCCTCTTTAACAATACAGAGTCAACATTGGCGAACAACTCTATTACATTTAAAGCCGCTGTAAACCCATTCAGAACAGATATGAAGTCGAGAACTTTACGTTTCGAATATGTTTTCTCTTCGTACAATATGGCCCTTGAATCCGGATGGTATTTCGATTTCTTTAAATTCCCGAGAGCGTGTACTCTAGAAATAAATTATGTCAGCTTTAATTGTTATGTCTCTTTTGGCTTAGGAAATAAAATCACAAAGAATCAATATTATAAATATATTGCTACTCTTATGACGATGACGATCTATGGAACCGAAATATGGTTCTACGCTATTGCCCATATGCAAAAGCTTCAAATTACTCAGCAAGCTATGGAGGAGATTATGTTTGAAGTTTCTTTGCATGACAGAATCCGAAATGAGGATATCTACAAAAGAACCAGTCACCAAAATAGCCCAAAAGATAAGCAAGCTAAAGTGGTCATGGGCTGGTCACATAGCTGGAAGAACCGACAACTGATGGGGAGGAAAGATTCTTGAGTGGCGACCCCGTACGGGTAAACGCAATGTAGGACGATCCCCCACTATATAGAGTGACGACCTCAAATGCATTGCAGAGAGTAAGTGGATAAAGGTGGCTCAGTACCATCCGTTATGGCAGTCTATGAGGGAAGTCCATGTTCAGCCATGGACAGATAATGGGTTAAATGAATTAATCATCAATGAATTGCTATCCCAATGGGAGCCAAGCATGACGTATGTAAGACAGCAAAAAATGCAAATTTTCCCATGTTTATTCTTTATGATAAATATATATGGTACAGAAAACAGACTGTTTATTAATTACTATCTGAAATATATCACTATATATATATATATATATATATTTGGCAATATTACTTATTTTTTAAACTTTTGTGAGTTTACATGTTTCCCATCTTAATCAATTCACTAGACTGTCATAATAATGATACCGAACAGCTTATGCCATTGACTGCATGCATTTGTAACACATTTTTAGTTGTAGCATAGTGAGGTTACCTTTAGAGAATCTTTCTCAATTAATTGCTTGTTGATGTTTTAAACTATAGCTGTACTTCTACGAGCTGTAGTCACTTTGTTTCTTCTAGCATATTCTCATTAAGGTACATATTTAAATATTTAATAATCTAATAATTTAAATGACACCTACAAATGTATTAGGATTGAATTACAACATATACTTACTTTGCCAAAAGTCTCTCCAAGTCAGGAAAAGTAGTTAAAATGTTTTTAGCATCCTGACACAGTTCTTGATCTTCGAACAACTCTTTCACAGCTTCTTGTCTCTCTTTTATAACCACTATGTTGCTACTAGGTGCACACACCCATTGATACAACCATCTGCAAGATATTTTTGTATACTCAGCTCAATAATACTTGGAACATCAGCATCAGTCGCGCGTTGGCAACCTTTATAGTATGGGGGAAAAGGGATTTTTAGTAATGGAGACTGAGAATCCCATTGCTAACAATATACCCAATCAGGTCGACCTCCTCGCGGTTCTCCCTGGAAACTATCATGGTTAATTCCTGATGAATTCATCATGATGGGCTAACTGGCCTGTTTTCATTCTCATCTATCACCCTTCACTGGTGCTCCGCCAGCGTATCTCGTTAGCGCAGGCAAAGTTACCATACCATTTTCACCCATAAAAAAAAACCTTTATAATATGAAGATTATAAATTTTAGTAAAAAATATATAAACTCCCTATCTTTCATCTTATTTATTGCATATACATCTATTATCGGACAAATTATATCACGACTTAATCGCTTTATCTTTTAAATGGTATAATACTTGATGGAAAATGATAGCAGTCACCTAATAGATAAGAACTGTATACCCCACAAGCGTTGTTATTCATGAGCACTACGCTATTAATTCTATACCCTGTAATTCCACTGACACATCCCATTCAGCAAACTAAAACCTAGCCATATAATCACAGCTATGGCACAAACATGTATGGGTCAGTCGACTCGGAGAAAAACATTCACGACAATTGTCTCCAGTCCTTAAGAGTATTCATGTTATACTAAAGTCTATAATCGTCTGACTCAATTCTGAATCCCAATTTAAAAAAGCTTTCTTTACCTTTTCCCCATAGGTGTTGAACAAAAGTTCAACTTGTCGTACAGGCATCCCGTATCTTGTACAATCCTCAAGTTCCTCAATGTTATAGAATCCAGAACCATCGTACTACCGCCTTCCCATCGATTTTCACCTTTATTCTCTTGTGATAAAGTCTCATTTAGTACATCGGGAGGTATATATGATGTGAACTGAGACATGCCCAATATTTGTATGTCTAGCAAACAATCCATCAAATATGACACACAACCACCGAGCGCTTTGATTGCTAAGTAATAGTCAAAAGCTGGAGTGAGACCCAGGGCATCATCTGTAATATAATAAATTTAAAAGATTATTTCATTATCTATTTTGTATAAAAAACGTAACATCTCTTTCAAGTACCATACAATTATTTAAAATCCCAATTTATAACAATTCTAATTATAATCTGTGTTTTATTACTATAGGCTCATTTAGAAAACATTTTTCATACTTGAAGTAAATGATGAATGAGTACATTTTACTGTAAAGCAGTTGTGTTTGCATACCTGTTTTGGTAAGAAAGGTGGGATATGGCAATGGAAATACAGGGTACAGAAGAATAACACCTTAGTCCTCAGGAATAGCAATGCATGAAGGTTATCATGGGTCTCACAGTATACTCTGTTATGCACATGGTACTAAATATTTCTATAGGTGAAGGTTACTACTTTCCATCAGGTGGAGCATCAAATTATTTACCTTTTAAAACTATTTAATTATTACATTTAAAACAAATACAATTTTAGATAATAATATCATGTCTGCGTTAGCGGAAGAGAAAAGTTTGCTCGTCGAACATAGTTTCATATATATATTTAGAAACAGGAAAAAAGATGAGATAAAAATTTTCTAACCTTCATGTAGAAACATCTTAAATCCTTCTGGCCAGTCTCCGTCTGCATTTGTTCTGTAATACTTTTCGGCCAGTATCTTTAAAGTTTTCTCTGGCTGCCATAAAGCTTTGGGCTCTCTACGAGCACTGTGGCAGTGTGAAGTGAGGAGTTTGCTGGTGCGAGGCGTAGTAGTTTTACGATCGTATACAATCTGAAATATTTTTCAGGTTAAGGTTTTAATTTGCTGGCAGATTATTTTTTAAAAAATCAAATCAATCTTCAACTGTTTTTGAAAATCGTCAATTTTAACGTTGCCACACTTCTGTAAGCTTAAGAACATTCATAACTTTTTACGCAATTTACTTACCAATGCCGGTGGATAGTGTGCTATAGTAGTAAGAAGTCTGGAAGAGTGCTTGTCGTCTTTGAACTGGCCGAGGTGAAACAATCCGATTGAGGTGTCCACGAAACACACGCCGTAAGTACTGATGTTGTTACTTTCCTGGAAATTTTAAAACACTTAGAATAGCAAATAGGTTGACGGTCTACCTGATATGTTGATATGTTCGTTAAAGAATCGTATACTTAAGCTCTTTTTCTCACTATATTGTGTTGGCTTAAAGAGATCTCTAAGAGATAAGTCCACTCTTGCTTACAATATTTATAAATGTATTCTCTGTAATTTACAAGTGCAATAAAGAATATATAAATATAAAGATATAGGATGATATAGATATGATATCCAATTGAAATTGCAATATATGCGCCAAATGGACGTCATTTTAATTTATATTTGACATTAATTTAAATTTCATTGTCACTGTATAGAATTACGTTAATGAATGAATGATGATTATTCTTTGTTATAACTGTTCAAAATTATGTTGTTTACATTATACTTAAAATTAAAAACCTAACTTATTCACAGTCGGACTAATTTTGAAAATATTTTTTTTCTGAATTAGCTCAGGTTTGGGTGTTCTAAGTTGTATTACTAGATGTTCATTGGCTGGTTCTTAACACAGTATATCTTTCCATTGATATAAACTAAACAATTGGTGTAATTTTACAATACATGTTATTATTAATACCTCCTCAGCAATGCCTATCATGTAAGCGGCGCCAGACTCAGCCGGGCCCGGGTCCTGTAGTCCGCACACTTGTGTCCCACGCAGTGTCACTTGACAAATCTCGCGCCGAACCACTTTGTCCCATTTGCTGTTTTTACCCGCTACAAAATGTTTAAGACTATTTATTTATTTAAACTTTATTTTTTTAATAAAATAATATACAAAAGGCGGAGTTCATACTCAGGAATCCTCTATTATAACTTAAGAAAAGTGTATATAGTGAATCTTTCACCTTCATCCTTGTAATTGAAATAGTTTTAATTTTAATAATTGTTAAATGTATACTACTGGGCATATTATACATCACTTCTAATGTCAAATTAAACAAAGTTGGTACTATGTGTACCAAACAAGTGATAGACTTTTGCACACACATTCAGTATCTTACAGTAATGTAAGATACTGAATGTAATGTAAAACTGCTGCACTATCAAGATTATCGAATACCATCATGTTTTAATTTTATTGGCTATAAATTCAATCAAATTAAACTTACAACCTGCCCCCAGTTTCTCATTGGTAGATAGGTAGAAAATCTCTCTTTTTTTTTAAAATACAACCCATGTTATTCACTGATAAATATAGCTTTCCATAGGTGAAAGTATTTTTAAACTCTGTTAACTATTTTTTTGAGATTAACCATTACAAATAAAAAATAAAATCTTTTCTCTTTGTAATATAAGTTTAGATGAAATCATACTAACTTTGTCTACACCTCTCCTGCATCATATCAGGTGTTTCCGTTTGCTCCACCCGCGCCACTTTATATCCTTTTAACACTAACGTAGACGCCATTCTCGCGTATGCGCTCTCAGGGAATCCAGAATGAGCAAAATCACCCTGGAAATTATATTGATTATATAAAAAAGTGAAAATAAAATGCACTAGTTACATATAAAAATTACTAAAACCAATACTGTGTGGGCTATCAGAAGACGCAGTTCACTTCAGTCAAAATCAGATTTGTACCATCAACCAACTTCCCTATTATTAACATAAAGGGGAAGGGATTGTAAGTAATGCGGACTACCGGCCAATATAACAGGTCGGCCTCCACATGGTTCCACCTGGAAACCATCGTGGTTAATTTTTGATAAATTCATCACGATGGGCAAACTGATCTGCTTCATCCTCACCTATCAATCCTCATTGGTGCCACGCCAGTGTATACCGATAGCGCAGACGGGGTTACCATTCCATTATCACTTATAAAAAATCCCCTCCCCCTCCTGCTACGGTGCTGCCCTCTTTTGTATAAAAACACAAGTACTCCATTCCTTCCTATTTTTTTTTATCATGAACACCTACCTCTGGTGTTGATAAGGAAAATAAATGATTACCTTCATATATGAGAATCCAAGTTCATTCACCCCAACAGTAGCATCCATATGGTAAAGTTCATAGAATTTACCCACTTTAAAAAATAGCACACAATCAAAGTGTGACGATTTCATTTCCCACCACTGACGATGAGCCTGAGACAAAAAAAAAACAATTTTAAAAGAGGGTGTAAGTAATTACTTCTTTATTCTATGGGAACATATATTGTGAATACAACTTGAGATTTTTTTTTATTTTACTTTAGATTATATATCTATTATTTGGAACTTACAGGCGTCTGACTATTGTAAAAGTCTGGTGGCACATACAGAGTGCAAGGATCGTAGTCGGGATGGTCTGGCCTCCGCTTTTGTGCATCGCGAATTTTTTCTGGTTTAAGCCAATCCAACTTACAATGAACCCAATTGCCTTCATCAGCTGATACAAATTTATCTTGTGGTTCAGACGATTTAGTTGATGTGTTTGCAATTCTGTAATTTATTACCATTATTTATAATATTTATTTATTTAATCTTTATTTCACCACTTCAATAATACAAGGAAATATACACTTATGAAGTAAGTAGTTTAATTTAAGTAGTTTTATTGCTAAAGCAATCTCTTCCAAATTTTGCATATATATATATATATATATATATATATATATATATATTATTAATATTAATTTATTATTATTATTAATATTTAATAATCTTATTCTATCTATTGTAGATAAATAAGTGAAAACTAGCAACCAATTCAATGTTAAATAACTATCATCATCACTTCAGCTACTTATGGTATTATCCATTGCTAAACACAAGCATCCCCCACAAATGGTCTCAAGGTTGTAAACTACCTGTACCCACTGTTCCCTTATGTTATATGAACATGAATATAACCATTAATATCTAGAGTAAAATATACTGTGTCGCCAATTCCACTAAACCTAAGCATTAAGGTGTTACGCCCCATATATCAGAGATTATAATAATCTATTATTTTTTCTTTTTAATTTGAAGGGCTTTTATCTACTTCAAGTATATCAGTACTAACATACTTTGAACTGATTTCTCACATAAGATTTTAAAGTGTCAATTTAAAGAGATGTTAAAAAATGTCTGATTTGGGTATTATGTAGTTATAAAAAAGTATTTTAGTATATCTACTAGATATCTACACAAGCACTTCTAAGTTTAGGACGAAACGCAATGTGTTATATTTCAAAGGGTATTTATTAATTATTATATTGACTATTTTAAGTTTCATGATAATCTGATTTCTGCACTATTTACTTTTTTAGCAAAAATTTAAATTAATGATAAAAAAATACATTAAAATAAAATTTACCCATTATTAATGGCTTTCTTTTGCGTGTTGGTTTTCGGAGAATCATTTGGTTCATACATAAAACTGTCATGTAGTTTTTTCCCAAGTGATACCTTCTCAGTTGGAGCATCTATTTTATTATCTACTGAAAAATTATATCAAAGTTTATTACAATATATTACTGTGTGCATAAAATATTGAATAAGCATACCTAATAGCAAAATTTTCTAAATTAGAGGGTATTAAAATCAATAAAAATAATAGTATTTTTTTTAAACCACAAAGATGGCAAACATGCATACAGCCTGTCTGTTGGTAAATAGTCACTGTAGCCTATGAATGCCTACAATACTAGGGATGTCACGTATTCATTGTCGATTTTGAAAGAAACCTCATACTGTAGTCTCTAGGGAAAACCTCAACACGGAACTCATTCCACAGCCTGACACACATGGGAGAAAATTCCTTTGTAATCATCCTGTACATGAGAATTTAGTTTCAAATGTGTGAGGATGAATTATCTTCATTCAATCATCATCACTTCAAACAATACTTCAGAAAATAATCTGTTATACAAGCAGTAGAATACACAAAGAGATGCAAAGTCTCGCCTTAGACTTAAAGGTTTCAAACCGCCTGTTAGATTGGGATTGTTGACAATTCTCATAGCCCATCTTTGAACTGAATCAAAAGGACTAAGCTAGTGTTCAGTGGCTCCGACCCACAGATGTGAACACATCACTTCATAAACACTGGACTTGTACTTGTCTTTGTCTTAAGGTGAATTACTGTTTTATATTATGTTTTAGATGACCTCAGAACTTTACTGTACTGGAGATGTTGATACCCAGGATCTCAATACTTTTGGAGATGATAATGAATGTACAGAGTCTAATTTGTAAAGGCATAGTAAATGGAGGTTTTTAGCAGTAAAAATGAAACTTGTGTCTTAGATGAGTTAAATTGGAAATATAAAATTTGATATATAGAGAACATATCCTAGATTAAAACATAGGATACTTTTTTCCAAATAACACTGGTAAAGTTGTAGGTTACAATTAGTACAAAATAAATTTCTGATTTTAACTAGAAATAAATCTCACCTTTATTTTCAGTATCAGAGTCCTCTGAATCTACAGGATTCAGGCGGATCCTCTTCCTCTTTTTAGCACCCAAAGGGATATCGTCATCACTGTCCTCTGAATTTTGTTTTTGTACTTTTGGTGACACTGTTGGTTGTCTCTCACGCTTTTTATCTAAAAACATGTTTCAATTTTTTTTTAATATTATGAGTAAGTCCATGACATTTTAATTCATAATTTCAATAGGAATAGCTAATGCATGCAGGGCACCATAGGTATCATAGTGTATTTTATGGTGTCCATGGTTCTGTTTATGTAAAATATATTTTCCATTCCATGGTGTGATGTCTCCATATATCCAAACATAGAAACGATTGTTTCTATGTTTACAAGCACAAGTGCTTCTCTGCAGAAATATGAGTGGACAGAGGTACCCAAAACAGAGATGATTTGTACAATTTTCCCTTAAATAAAAAAAAAAAATTATAGTGCACTAGAAATCCACCTTTGATTTGCATGAGTAGTTAGCTAGAAGATCTGTTTTTCTAAATACAGCTTGTGTTACTTACTAATAATATAGTTTTTCATAGGTGAGACTACTAAATTACTTTAGTATTTTTTAAGTTTATGCATTACAAATCTTCCCTTTTTATAATATTAATATCATCTACATTAATATATAAAAAATAGCGATAGCATTAAAAAAATCGCTTGTACTTTTCCACAAATTGATATAATATATACTTAAGTGGTTTTACCAATCAAGTGCTTAAAATCACAACTATTAATTAACATACTATTTAAATATAATATTATTAATTTATAAAGTAATAGACAGTTTTTATAGAAGAAAGTAAACTCACTCTCATGTTTTGTGTCTTTCACAATTGTATCTACTTTTGGACTGCTTTCAGTTTCGACGCCAGGTTTAATCTTTTTGTTTGCTGGTGGAGTCTTGGAGAAATAATTAAAAAGTGTATTTGCACTACCTACACTGTTACGTTTGGACATATTTTATATTTTTCTTTTTCTTGAAAATGATTCAAAACAAATCAGAATTAAAAGTTATTTATAATAATAATAACATTTATGTTAGGACATAGAAATTAGGTTTAACATTTTTGGCGCAAATTATGAAGTTTAGATTATGAATTTGACACAAGATCGGTTGCCAATTCGTTGTCAAAACTCAAAACGACACTACAACTCATAGATTAAAAATAATCATCATATCTGTTTATATCGTAGATTAAAAATAGTACCTACGGTACTATGTAAGTACAAGTTTGGATTTTTTTTTAATGGATGATAATGAAACGGTTAATCATACTGGCGGAACACCAGTGATAGATGATAGATGACTATTAAAGCAGGTCAGTTAGCTCATCGTGACGAATGCAAGAAGTATTAATCACAATGGTTTCCAGAGAGAACCGTGTGGAGGTCGACCTAATAAGACTTGCAAGCAATGAGGCTATTAGTCCACATTACTAACAATTATTTCCCTTCACTACTTTGGATTTAGCCGGATAATTCAATTTTATTTGCAATTAACATTATCGACATTCAAGTTTCAACATCTTCAATTTCACTTTTTACTTGTAATATAAAAGTAATATTAATTAACGTACACGAGTTGTCAGACTAAATGTCTGTCAAACTTCATGAAATTCAAGGATTTATTTTAATTATAAATATATATTATATAGTTTTTCCTTATATTTTTTTAACTATGCTTGTATTTTTTTGAAGAGGGAGACTTTGTACAAAAGTCGATTGCTTGTGTATCTCTGTCCCATTCGTGTTTCAACCGTGAAGCAGTTGTGTTTGTATGGCTGTGTTTCCGTTTGAAGGGTGGGATATGGCGTGAATTTACAGGAGGAATAACACTTGAGTCCTCAGGAATGGCAACGCATGGGGGATATCATGGGCGAAACAGTATACTCTGTTATGTCCATGGTACCGCTCACGTCTATAGGTGACGGTTACCACTTTCCATCAGGTGGGCCGTCAGCTTGTTTGCCATTCTAAGTTTTAAAAAAATATATATAAAAAAGTTCCTTTTATGGTTGTACTGCAAGTTTGAAAGATATATGAAATGGTGCCAAAGGAGTGTGAACTTCATGCATAAAAGGTTTTTAAATTAAAACTGTAGTATGTATATAATTACTTAGTATATTCATTCACAGAAATTATTATTGCATAAACTATTATATTTAAATGTTACAGTAATAATTTTAGCAAGTATAAAAATCATACCTAGTGTGACAGTATTTATACAGACTATTTATGTATAGACCAAAAATTTTTTTAAATCCTATTTTTCGCCCTGTTTATTTGGCCCCGTGGATAATGGGGCTTATATCTGAATAAAAAAATAATATGGTAATAAAATGTTAATTCATTAGAAAAAAAAAAATTGTAAAAAATTTAGTCAAAAATATAAATATTTTTTTATGTTAAAGTATATAAATTTGGTTTATGAATAAATAAAAGAAAATAGTAAAAATCTGACTGTGGCTGCCATGTAATTTTTATACATAATTATCCCTCATTTGCAAACCGTTAGAGAAATTTAAATTTTGCTAAAAGGAAATACAACTGTACATTTACTATGTGACCATTTGTATCAGTAATCAGTTATATGATTACACTGAACCGAGCTAAAAAAGCAAAAAGTGTATCTATAAAATGCAATATTATAATAAAATTCTATATCAGTTGCAAGCTTTCCTAAGCTAAACTTGCAAACCCATCGACATTTAATGCAAATAAATATATCATAGTTTTTATGCATATTTGTCTGTTTATAATGGCCTTATTATGTTACAGAAACAACTTTAAACACTACAAAACATTTTAATGAAAATTCACTGGAATTCTCTTAGATTAAAATATAGAAAATTGTGACTCTTTCTAAATAGATGATGCATTTCGAAAATGGTCGAAATTTACACAAACTAATAACAAACAATCCTTTTTATTATATAAAATTATAGTTTATATAAGTTTTATATTAAAAAAAAATCAAAATAAAATTTGTCTTAATATATTTTTTTTATAAATATTTATAATCACGTGTCTTCATTGCCGTTTTCTATCGTAATTAAAATGTAGTATCCATTTTCATTTTCAGAGATGCGTAGTGATTTTACAGTAATTTTAATAATAAATTTTGTTTAATTTAAAATTCAGGCAATATATCTTGTTGACTCACTTTATGTGGAACTTCTATTATGTGAAAATGTCATACTTACAAACGATAGACTCGTATTATTATTTACAATTCTTATTTAATCGTTACATCTAAAATCAAAGTCATAATATTATATTACTCAAAAAAATAAACTAGTTGTCTTTTGCGAATATCACAATATCTGCTACACCTATTGATATAGTTATGGTTTACGTTTTTTAATAGGTTTTTACCATTTTCAAGACTGACTTCTCAGATTTATAAATAATTTTAAACGACATTTATGGAAAGTTAACTGTTATATATCTTATCGGTGGGGCTCAAGGTGAATGCTACTCTGTCAGGTCCTTTTAAAATTAGAGATACATAATTAAAATTTAGTAAAAAAAAATAATAATATGGAAATCTAAACCTCATATATTGCAAAAATCATCGAAGGTTCAGAATCGGAGAAGATTTGCAGTATCTTCCAAAAAAAAACTTAATGAGAATGGCCATAAATTTAACTTCCCTTAATTCATAAAATAGTTAAACATTTAAGAAACCTCTTTTTAGTTACGTTTTTTTTCTATGGACACAATTTTTAATTTTAAAGGATAAAATGTAACATTTAATAAAATAGGTCTGTAAAACGTTTTAATTTTTATGACTAGACCATTAATATTTATTAATGTCATTAAATTGCAAAATTATCAAATTAGTCTTAAATAGCAATTTACATCAGTCTGCTATCGCCGTAGCTATATGATATTAGTGACAACCTGTTTATTTTTTCGAATAAAGCCAGTCTTTACATAATAATTTGTGGTTCAGGTACCGATAATTGAATGGACTTGTGTGGCAAAACCTGGCCTCCATTAACATAAATCTCATCTTTAACTATTACGTCTTCGCCAAGTACTGTACAGTTCTCCATCCGGACCCAGCGCCCAACGACTGATCGCCAGCCTACTATACAGCCGTCTAGCCAAGCATGCTGTCTGACACAAGCTCCACGAAGGATTGTACTTCGTTTTATGCATGCACCTAAAAAGTAGCACGATAAAGAATTTATTACTTACACTATTTATAGCTAATGAATTGGTCTAAAAATAACGTTTTAAAAAGTATGCCAAGTATAAAAAACTAATGCTAAATGCTAAATATTAAAACCTAATATAAAATATAGGGGGGATTGTCAGTAATGAGTTCTAACAGCCCGTTGCTAAAATACACCCTATCAGGTCGACCTCCACGCGGTTCCTCCTGGAAACCATTGTAGTTAATCCTTTTTGAATTCTTCACGATGGGCTAACTGACCTGCCTTTATCTTCACCTATCATCTATCACTGGTGCCCCGCCAGCGCATATTGATAGCGCAGGCGCGGTTACCATTCCATTTCTACCCATTAAAAAAAAATATAAAAAGTAAAACCATTAATTAGTTGTACTAAAACTCTATACCAAATTGCAGTAATAGTATTTATATCGCAAAAATTGAAAGGTTTTTTTAATCAATGAAGTTTATCATAGTTCTACAGAAACAAGTTTATCATGTTTATATACTGAGTCACTTTTGTTCAAATATTGTGCAATATTCACATTATCAACTTACCATCTTCAATAACAACATCTGGGCCAATGGTAACATTTGGTCCTATCCGGCATCCTTTACCAATAGTGGCTGTTGGATCAATCAATACATTGCCTACCACTCCAGGACCTTCATAGAGTTTATTTGAATTTTTCTGTCTCAAACTTGTTAGATATAAACACATTCCTGAAAAATACAATATAGAACTATTAAATAATTATATAAGCAATGAAAGTACATTTCATATGTACAGTAGTCACAACATTATTTCACTGTGTAATAATTTCAAGTAAAATAAAAGGTATCTATACAGTTAACATTTTAAAATAGAAGAATATATGTTTAACTTCTGAATGCAAATTTTTAAAGATTTTAGCATGGCTAGTGATTTGAAATGTTATCTGCTGAGAAAAATCTCAAAAAACTCAGTAGTTAAGAGTAACTTTAAATAATAAAGTAATTAGTTAAGATAACATGACTTTAAGTAGCATGTAGGAATAAGGAATAAGTGAATATATTGATGATTGCTATATACAGTTAGAAATTTAAATGCACCATATTTAACTTATTTAAAATAATGTGAAAGATTTTTATATCTACTACACCTGTCAAAAAGTCCTTAGGTTGTCCCACATCCATCCAAAAGCCTTGTAACTCCAGGGCATGCAGTTGGCCATCTCTAGCCATGAAAGGAAACACTTCTTTCTCTATTGATGTTGGACGAAGTTCTATTCTATTTAATACAGAGGGATTCAGTATGTACATTCCTGTAATAAAATTATCTATTAATTTCTTCCATATCTATACTAATTTTATAAAGAGGAAAGATTTGTGATTTTGTGTGTATGTATGTTTGTAATGAATAAACTCAAAAACTACTTTGCCGATTTAAAAAATTCTTAACATATGTAATATAGGCTACATTTATTGCTAGAAAAGATTAGGGATTCTTACAAAAATTTTAGTAACATAACACAAGGTGTAAAAAATGCTATAAAATATCTTTCGTCACGTGCGTTGCGGAAACTATTAGTGATAGAACAAAAGTATGTTCTATAATATTGAAGAAAATATCAATAACTATAAAAAACTTTGTCTATATGTCTAACTAATATCGTTATGTCATAATAATCACTTTTTACAAGTTAATAGAAATACGGACCAAAATTACACCATGTTATACATACTTCTGTTTAAATTCTTATCCAAATAAATCATATTGTTTTTAAAACTGTTTTAATTTATGTAGAATTAGGTAGGATCATATAAGAATGTAAAATGTGGTAAAAATGTCCACCCGGCGAAGCGGGGACGGGCCGCTAGTCTTCTATATATATAAAATAAGACACTAACTATATGACTGGTCAACATAGTCTTAACTGCTAACTAGTATTGTATGTATGTTATTCAAGAGCTAAAATTGTAAAATGTGTATTTAAAACCTTTTAATCCATTAAAAAAGTATTCTAATACTTTTCATAAAAGAGCTATAAAAAATATTCAAAAACATATTATTTTGTAATATCAAATAAAAAATTAATTCTATTAAAAACGCACTATAAATTTTTTTGTTGTTAACAGAAAAAAAATACAATTAATGTTACATTTGAACTGAGGTTATAAGGAGTGAACCCAGGTATATTGACTGAGGAATTTAGGGAAGAAAAACACACTGTGCCAACTCTAAATAAATGGGAAAAGCTATGATAATCATTTGAACTAATATTATAACACACCTGCATTAATTTTGTTTGAAATGAACTCTTGTGGTTTTTCTATGAAGCTTTCAATTTGACCATCTTCTTTGTATACAACTACACCATACTTTGAGGGCTCCTCAACTTTCGTGACTACTATTGTACCTTCCTATAATAAAATAATTTTATTATATTTCCTAGCAGTACATACCCATTGCACAGGCAAAGTTGCTATTTTTATTGCAATATATTTATTTTTAACCCATAAAAATTTACATTTGTATCACTTACAAATTATAATAAGTAGTTTACATGCCTTGATGTTATAATAAACATTAGCTCCAGTATGCAATTATTTGTTCAAATGTAATTTATATTTTACTAGTTTTTATCTATTAATTTGTTTGCGTGACTGGGATATGTTGACTGATATAAATGAATAAACTTAAAGTAAATGTTGACAAGAAAGTAATTAGTACAAAGATCTTTGATATTGGGTTTTTTCTACTTTGATATCGGGTCACTCCATATATCTGTATGCCACAAACAAAAACCTTAGTGTTGTAGAATACTCACCTTACCATGACTCCTATGATACTTTGCAAGCTCTTTAAAAGGAAATTCACAAATAACATCAGAATTCAGTACAAAAAATGGCTCAGGACTAGCACTGAGTATTTCTCGAGCTAATGCTAAAGGACCGGCTGTACCTAGTGGTTCAGTTTCATGGGAAAATGTTAATGAAACTCCAAGTTTTGACACTTCTTCTGTCAATTCCTTTTCCATATCCTCTGCTCTATAAGAGACAGCTAAGATTACCTGAAAACAGATAAAAAACCAATGAAAGTCACATAATCCAGGTTTTGATAGATATTAAGGTAACAAAGTAGATATCTAGCTAAAGTTAGGTACCTAGCCACTACAAGTATGAATTATAAATTAGATATCAAATATTCAAAATAAATGTGATTACTGATACATTTCTAAGATAATCTGGTGTATTTGCAATGTTTCTTAGCATAGACCTTTGGGATAAGTTAAAGAAGTCTTCATACTTCTTAAATAGATTCATACTATGTTTCTATACGGTATTTAAAAGTTGCAAACATTGCAAAACAAACTCAAGACTTTTGAAATAACCTGTATTATGTCAATACCATGAAATATGATTGTAAAGCATTATTATCATCATCATGTCAGTTGTTAACTGTTCACTGCTGATATAGGCCTCCCCCTATTGGGGGAGTTAGGTTTTGGTGAAGCTTTAAGAGGGATGCTGCAGCCCATCCTCAATCATTAAGTTCCTTTAACCACCTCTTATTACGTCTATGAAAAAAGAAGGGATGGCCCATACCATATCAGTACTATATACCAGAATACCAGTTTTTGTTATGCGGTTTTTTGCCACAGGGTTAACCAGGTGTTTAACTCTGTGGACCACACAGATGAATATAATTACCACCACATAGAATGACCAATTCTTTCAGTTACCCGTTACAAAAGATTTGTATTTCAACAATTGTTTATGTACAACAGAAAAAATGTCTATAATGTACTATAAATCAGCAATATAAAGGTTTTATGATTTAGAATGTGATTTTGTTATAATAAAAACTGACTTGAAATTAAACCTTTTCAAAGTCAATATGAAACTAATCGCCAATGTATAGTAATAAAATGAGGCATTAAACATTCAATGCTCATAGTTAACTTTTATTTTATTATATTACCTGAGTCACGCCCGCATCTACAAGAGCTTCTATCTGATGCAAGAGAATAGGTTTGTTTGCAAACTCCACTAGCGGTTTCGGTCTACTTAAAGTTAATGGTCTCAGTCTAGTTCCATAGCCACCAACAAGTATGAGGGCCCGTATATCACCCAATTTCTTATCAGAACCGCACATTCTAGTGAATAAGAATAGACGAAAACAAACAAGGGAGAGTTCGCTTTTTTGGATAAACTCCAGTTATAATGTATTTTTATAAATAATTATGAGTAATTTGCAACGGAATGTGTAATAAATTGGGTAGGTAATTATTATTAAATAACATAAGAATAATTATTGTAATAACATTTACAAGATAAATAAAGTACACGTCTAAATCAAACAAACACACGTCACACAAAGGTAGACAATCTGATCTGATAGATTTGACGTCTGAAAGTTACAACATAGATTAAGAACAAATATCAGTGGCTCTCTTCTTAAGATTAAAAAATTTACACACAATATATAATGTGGTCGATTCTGAGCCGCACATATTAACCTATTTCTAATATTAAAATTTCAAATTGATATCACATTGAAATGTTTATTATATATACCCTAATAAACGTTAAATAAAAATCAGGTACTATTTACCTACAATCGTGGCGCGTTACGTCTCAATAGTGTATTTAAGATATATAAAATAGTTCATTTAATTTCTCAATATTCCTAATTTTAATATCTCAGACTTAGTGGTAATTATGTCGTTGGTCGATACCGGCTTTTTACAAATTTAAATATGTATTGTCATCAATTTAGCCAATTGGTTAAAATCTTTGGTCACTATTTTTAACCTGAGTGTAGGTTTCGTTGTGTAAGCTATTTTTCTTTATGGGTTGTAATGGTCCTTTATTTAGACATCCCGTCCTTGCTAATGGATACAGGTGACGGGATGTCTTTTTTTAATGAATGCACTATTTTAGTTGAGGCACAATACTGTTGTTAGGGGAGCATACTTTAAGAATGAACAATCGGGGACTGCAAGTAAAGTGAAGGCGGTCGACCTCCGAGCGGACAGCCCCTGTTTTCTTATGTAGGCATATTTAACACGTGCATGTGCCCATGATGCACATGTTAAATAAACACGTGCAGTATTTAACTGTCGTATGTTCCGCCGTATACAATTGGAATGAGTATCAAATTTATAAGTTACTAATATGTAAGATCTTAGTAATTAGGCACTGTACTTTTAAAATATCTATACAAGAATTCGAGTATAAATAATATTAAAAATAGGTAGTAATTTCTTTTTTCCAGTTGGACATTGTGTTACAGGTACTATCTACGCTAGACAATTGTCAAATAATGATTATTATAATGTATGTTATGTAACGGGTGGCCTACTGTCAGTGTCACAAAATTGTCTAACTATTCTTTCCTTTTTTCCATTCTTTACATTCTAGTTATACAATGGCTGTGTCGGTACGGATTCTTTCTCGGTTTAAAGGTAAGTTAATAGCATTATACTTTGTAAGTACAATACTTCCGTTAGCACACTATCAATACTTCCCTACCCTGAACTTGCATTGGGACTGTCATGTGAAACAAGGTTACGTTAATTTTTTTTATAAGAATCAACCTATGATGATTATTTAACCTTGTAATTCATTTGGCACGTACCTATAATCATGCTCATGATATAAAAATAAACTACTTTCTATCAACTATCCATTCATAAAGATTTTAAAAAGTTTAAGTAGATTCATCTCAAGGTACTTATATAAATCTCTATTTCATTATTAATAACTAAGACCTTCATCTAAAAATATATTGCTTAGGCCACAATCTCATTAATTACTGTTTGCTGTATAACTACCCTACACCATCTACTTTATATTGAATAAAACTTTCTTATTTTGAAATGATATTACAATTCTGACCTTTGATACATTAAGATATAACCATAAATAATATAAACTTTGAGTTGTTATTCTGAGGATAAGTTATCTTACAAATATTTTATTTATTACCTATATTGTGTAGTGCACTGAGGTAGTTGTTAGTAAAAATAATAGTAATGGTACACAATTGATTAAGGTACTCTTACTGTTATTCGATTATTATATTTTAATGTAATAATAATGTGGTATATCTAATATTTTTATCAATAAAATTTCGAATATTTTCTAGATCTCTTTTATTTATATCACTAGGTGGTAAGCAAATATATAACTCATATTACATTCATTTGAGGTCCAATATTTTTTTTTATTAAATATTTTATTAAAATAATATACATGAAATAGTACATGTCAATGATATAAGAAGCCAAGATAACTCCAGTACAGTGGATTTGTTACTCTAATAAGAAATGTGAAATATGTAATGTATAAGAAATAACTTATCTTAAGTAAGTTGTTGTTTGAAATATTTAGTAATCCTTATCAAATGTGTTTGTTAGCTTTGTAAACAAAATAAAACAAACTAAATTTACAGAAATATAATAGAACTATCTGTCTTTGTTTATTTTTGCATGCTCATTATACATAATGTGTATAATTAGGAACTTAACTACCACTTAACACATAATGACATTACTTATGAGTCAGACCACACATTTGATTAATTTGGGATTTTTTGTCTATACTAATGATGAGGTGTTAAACCAAGTAATTAAGATCTACTATTGAGATATTGATTAAACTTAGCCTTCAAACCACTTTGGTTGAATTTATCTGAAATAATAATTAGATGTTGAATATTTTTGTGCCTCTACTGGGGTTGATTCTCTAAAATTAAAATCTCAATTTGATATTCTAGTAAAATCTTTCCTGTAAGGATCCATATGAAATACATTTCTAATTGATTTAAGTAAAAAATATAGATTTAGTTTATGATGGTCCATAAAACAATTTTTTTTTTTTTAAATTAAAAGGGTAAGAGGTAGGTTTAGAAAAATGGTGCCTTTGGAACAGCCCCACTGCTTCTGATGTGTTTGTCTGAAAGAGAATCTGTATTCATATGTTTATATTATCTGTTTATTCAGCTGTCTACTACATTAACACATTGAAATTAAATTGAGCATAATGTAGAATAAAAGTTTGCAGTATTTTCAAATTAAATAAAACTAAATGCATTATAAAGTTACTAGTTTGTCTGCTACAAACCCAAGTAGTAAAAAAAACATAACATAGATATGTACACCCAATGCAATCCAGTATTTCAGCTTTCTGAGAGGCATTTTTATATTTTTTACACCTATTTTAAATATACCATTGGGATTTAAGACACCGCAATTGCAGATACAAACATGGTATTTTTTGTAACGGGTGATAATGGAGTCCCTCTTCCCTCCGCGTGTCTATTTATCATGGTACATGGTGTACGTGGTTTAATCTACGTCAAAACGTCGGCAATAAAAATCTGGTACTAATTACCTACAATTGCGGCACGTTAAGTCTCAATAGTGTATTTAAAACATGAAAAACAGATCATATAATTTCTTAATATTCCTTATTTCAATATCTCAGACTTAGTGGTAATTATGTCGTCGGTCGATATCGGCGCATTACAAAGTTAAATATTAATTATCATCAATTTGGCCAATTGACCAATATCTTTGGTGACTACTTTCTAACACGAGCGAGGGTTTCATTGTGTAGACATATTTAACACGTGCAAATGCTGCACGTGTTAAATATGTTACGCGATTTTCCTAGCTCATTAATGTTTAGGTTGAATTCTTCTGCTTCTTATCATTAAAATGATCATTTCCAGTTTTTATCCCTTTGATCATAGAAAAATTGTTAATTCTTGTAATATTTTATATATTTAAATTTGCTTCGTTAAGTCTCCAAAATATATTTAAATATAGAGAAACTATTGAACAAAAGACAATTATGTTAATGTTGTTGGCACTTAGGTTACATTAAGTTCATGTTGAAATTATATGCAGAAACGTGTTTTTCATAAATTAACTGCATTCCACAAATTTATAGACAGTACAAGTAATGTTTGTAGATAATTTTAACAATAACCGTTATGGTGACGCATAATTTTATTTCTTTTTTCAGTTAAATAGGCTAGGTCCACTTTTTGTGGGATTGCTTTTGAAATAAGTTTGTAAGAAACCCTTCTCTATGAAGTCAGATGCTTATTTTTTGTTTCTCTTAGTCATTTCTAAACTACACTCACTTGCAGAGAAGTGTCGTATACCGAGGGCGCATTACTCCACGTGCATTAATTCATTTACTTTTGGCCTCATCATAAATTCTGTTTTGACATGCACCGTTAATTTATATCGTACGCAATGGATCTTATGTTATTAGGCGATGGTCACTATTTTCCAGATTAACTATCGTCTGATAAGATTACTAAAAGTACGTCTTCTCTGGTGTGACTGTATATAAACATAATTGTATAACGACCAAGTCATGAATAATTACGTAGGTATAAAAGTTTTTTGGTGAGCCGTCAGTTAAAATGATTGCATAACATGTATTTATTATTTTTGAAGTAAATTTAACTAAACGATACATAATATGCTTATGAATCATTCTTTCATTCTCAGAATTTTCCGTTATGCGTAAGTTAGAATATCATATTTGTGTTTATAGAGTCTCAAGTACAACTGTACAAGTTGAAAACTAGCAATGTAGATCAACTACATCTAATATGTTGAACTTGAGTGCAGTCTATTATCCACTTATAAGTGTTGTAATGCTGTATATGGAAGGCAATGAATGTATTTTATTTTATTTTCCATATCTGGCTGGATAAAATATATAAACAGTATGTTCTTAAGTTTAGGTCACCTTCCTTGGGATATTATATAGATATATGTTTTGAATAACCGCAAATAATTGTACTTATGATAAAAGTAACATTAGAGTAAGAGCAGTAGTAATCTATAGATAACAGTATTGGTTTTACAGTAATTATTTCTATGTACTTTTGTATCATTAATGTATAATTGTAAAATTGTTTGTTGTCCCAAATAAAATAAACAAATATCTTTATGTTAATTGCTATGTCTAATAGCTGGCTCTTGTTGTCAAGATATCTATAGATAAATCACTCGAAAGCCCTGATTAAGGAATTTTCAAAAAATTACTCTTAGAAATTACATAGATAATTTATTTGCATTACTTATAGTACAAATAACAGACATATACAGTGAAAAGAGATAAAAGAATGCTTATACAAAAAAAAGAAAAACAAAATATATAAAAGAATTAACAGTTTTCTTCCTTCATGCGTATGCCATAGTAACATAAATAAGGGCAGAACAATAAACTGAATAGTGACAATATAACTCAGTTTATTGTTCTGCCCTCAAAAGAACAAAACACAAAAAAAAAAACTATATTCTGTTGTGGCCAAGAGCCAATCACATAATTCCTTAATAAAAATTAAAAAAATATATATGAATAAAATATATTGTGTGTGTCCATTACATTCGTTACCATTTATAATTTTATAGCAAAAAAAAAAATAGATACCATTAGAAGAGGAGAATTAGCAGCGAACTTGAAAAAAATGCGAGCACAAAAGATCATTGAAAGGGTGCAGTGTTACAGGATTTTTCTACCTGGAAAAAGCCCGTGTTTCAATAATAATAATAATAGTTGTTTTGCCATATTATATGAATAATATTACCTAGTATTTCTATAAAAAGATATTATACAAAAGCGTCTTTTATACATAAAACAAAAATTATACTTTACAACTCTCTAGTTCATATAGAAATATAAAATATAATAGGAATATTTCAGTATTATTTGTAGACCGCATTATACTACGCATTCGTTAAGATTAGAAAAGATTCAAAAACAGATTTATTTGGCACACTGGGCTTCATTTATGGGTATTGGTAAATCTATTCAATCCTATAATGATAGACTCAATTAACAATTAATTAGACTCAAATACATGTTATTTTTAAGCAACAAACGAGAATTTTTGGATGCCATGTTTATGCTTAAACTAATTAAAAACGAAATAAATTGTTTACAACTTTTATGTAAAAATAATTTCAGAGCACCAAGTCGATTTTCACGAAATAAACTTACACTCTTGTATCTTCATTAGGATACCACTGCATTAGCAGTCAATCCACATATTTTACCTCGGTTTTGTAAAATATTAACGAAAAATAGTAACATTTTTCTATATTAACGGATACTTAGTCCCTAGCTTTAGACGCAAATTTCTTAATTTTTTACTACAAAACTTTTTTATATTAATATGTTTTCTTAAATTGTACACTAGCAATTCCTTGGTCTATTTTATGATTTACTAGCTGATGCCCACGATTTTGTCCGCGTGGTATGGCGAAAGCCAGAATGTAGGGTTGAAATTTATACAGGTTTTTTAGTATATATCGATATATGTACCTACCTATTTATGATGTCTGGAAATACTGAACTAAAATTGACAAATGACGTGTATTTCTCACTCTTTGTCTTAGGTCAAAATTACTTAAGTAGGTTGTGTACTAAGCTGTATAAGTTACTGTAGTTTTTTTAACTATCCCACGGGAACTCTTTAATTTTTCGTAATAAAATATTGACCAGGAATATAAGGTATCACCATGCAAAATTTCATTAAAATCGGTCCAACAGTTTTGGAGATTAGCCCGTACAAACAAAAAAATTGAAATAAGTTCTGGATGTGTTTTATTTCACTTCTTACATCCGCCTCACTCGATTTTTAGCGTTTTTTTTCTATGTATAGACATTCAACCTCTACAGTAATATTATATGTATAGATGTGTAAGAATGTATGTCTAGAAATCGGTAATAAAATAAATTGTACTGGTACTGTGGGTAATATTGTCGGGTTTTGACTACATGTCTTTGAAACCTACCTACATCGTGACACTATGAATAGATAAGATATTGTGTATATATATATATATAAATTATAGGAAAAATATTTTAAAAATTTGTAAAAAAAATATCTATTATACTAAAAAGTGATGTCTGCGTACAAATAATTATTAATGCATTAATACATGTGTTTTTTTTCTTCTCATGTATGTAGTTGTAAGTTTTAATGTTTAAGTTGTTGGCGGATTAATAAATAAATAAATTATCATATATTTGTTTTAGATGGCTTAAAGCTAAGCAATGTCAGATTTCAATCTGGCACGCCTTATGCACAGACCCGAAAGAATCTGGCACTGACAAGTGAAACCAAAGTCATTATACAGGGATTCACCGGCAAACAGGGTACATTCCATAGTCAACAAGCCCTTGACTATGGCACCAAAGTTGTTGGTGGTGTATCGCCCAAGAAAGCGGGGACGGAGCATTTGGGGAAGCCCGTTTTCGCCACGGTGAAGGAAGCTAAGGCTGCAACTGGTGCAGAGGCCAGCGTTATCTATGTACCCCCTCCGGGAGCAGCTCAGGCCATCTTAGAGGCGATTGAAGCGGAAATGCCTCTTATTGTGTGTATCACAGAAGGCGTTCCTCAACATGTAAGTGTACACTAGAATTGATGAAAAAAAAAATACAATTTTACTTAATGCTAAATATTTTATTTATTTATTCTTTATTGCACAATAAAACTTTGTACAAATGGCGAGCTTAATGCCATATGGCATTCTCTACCAGCTAACCACTAGGTAAAAACAGAAAGCGTATTAAGGGCTTTATTATTAAAATATGTTAACGGACATCCGTTAAATAACATTAATTTTCTGATATACTTTTGCCACTAAATGACTTGTAAAAGACCGGAACTTAGTCGGTAATCGCCGTGACTTTAAATATGCAATTAGGGACTTAATTGTGTTTAAATTAGATATTAATAAATACTATTTGTATAAGTTCTTGTCAAGTCATATGTCGACAATATCGTGTCATAAAGAATATATTGATAATGATTATATATATATATATATATATATATATATATATATATATATATATATATATATAAAATAGTAACTCAATGATATCGAGTACATAATAAGAAATGGTATGGTATAAATGGTCTATCAGGCTGTATGTTTGTTTGTTTCAATATCATTTAAAAAATAATTTACTAAAATTGGACGCAGTTTTCTCATTTACAGTTTTAATTTAATGTATGTTTTGTCTTAATCTTGATAGTTATACTATCTAGAAGCGGTCTGTTTTTATTAGTTTTTTTTTATATTTACGTTAAAACCCTGCTGCAGGTATAAGTTTTTTAAGTCTTTGTGCTTTCATTAAGTAAGCGATTACCAGAGAGAGACTTTGTACAAAAGTCGATTGCTTGGGTACCTCTGTCCCATTCGTGTTTCAACCGTGAAGCAGCTGTGTTTGCATTTCTGTGTTTCGGTTTGAAGGGTGGGATATGGCGTGAATTTACTGGGTACGAAGGAATAACACCTGAGTCCTCAGGAATAGCAACGCATGGGGGGTATCATGGGCGAAACAGTATACTCTGTTATGTCCATGGTACTGCTCATGTCTATAGGCGACGGTTACCACTTTCCATCAGGTGGGCCGTCAGCTTGTTTGCCATTCTAAGTTGTATAAAAAAAACGATTTCGAAAAGATTTAGTTTTCTAGCTATGTTATGGCATTACATCGCTAACTCTGAACCGATTTTGATGATTTACTTTGCTATCACTAGGGTTTGTTGTATCATCCTATCAGGTCGACATTCACGCGGTTCCCCCTGGAAACCATCGTCACTGATTATTCGTTGAATTCGTTGCGATGGGCTAATGGATCTGCTTTTTCATCCTGACCAACCTTCCCTCCACTGTATACCGATAGCGCAGGCGGGGTTACCATTCCATTATCATCCATTAAAAAAAATGAGGGGGGGGGATTGTTAGTAATGGGATTTAACAGCCTACTTGCTAGCAAAATATCCTGTTAGGTCGACATCCATGTGGCCCCCTCCTGGAAACCATCGTGCTGAATTCCAGGTGTATTCATAACTGACCTCGCCTATCATCCTGCACTAGTGCCCCGTTAGAATAGGCGGAGTTACCATTCCATTGTTATGCATTAAAAAAAAAAAACTCCTTCCTAAGTTAGTGACAAATGAAGCTGCTGTTTTTCTTAATGGAACAGAAATACTAGTTGTTGCGAAACAAAATCTGCTTGTCTACACGATTCCGTGTTATGATCCGTCTAATCTGTCTACGAAACACAATCCTTGTACATTTTTAAACGATCTGTGTCGGAATTTCTTTTATCTTCAGGACATGGTTCGTGTGAAACACGCCTTGTTGAGGCAAAACAAGTCGCGTCTCGTCGGCCCTAACTGCCCGGGTATCATCGCTCCTGAGAAGTGCAAGATCGGCATCATGCCTGCGGCTGTTCATAAGCGCGGCTGCATTGGTGTAGTCTCCCGCTCGGGCACTCTTACTTATGAAGCTTGCCATCAAACAACTATAGTAAGTACCACTTTTTTACATCAATCTCATGTTGTCTTCTTTTATAGAGTGAACTGATAGAAATAAGGACTGGTTCTGTGGCGCCATTTCTCTAAAGTTTGAGTCTAAATCTATCTCTTAACGCAATATTTTAATTTGGTAATTTTCCGATATTACGGTTTTATCATCATTTCATCTATTATCCCTCCACTGCTGGACAAAGGCCTCCTCCATAAACTGCCATAAGAAACGGCACTGAGCCAACTACATCCTTCGACTCCCTACAATGCATTTGAACTCGTCACTCTATCTAGTGGGTGGTCGTCCTACACTGAGTTTGCCTGTATGGGGTCGCCACTCAAGAACCTTTCTTCCCTATCGGTTGTCGGTTCTTCGAGCTATGTGACCAGCCTATTGCCACTTCAGCTCGCTTATCTTTTAGGCTGTTTTATGGATCAATATAAATTAAATTTTTAATAATTTTGACTTAAACCTATTAGAAATTTAGTTCATATTGGTCTTTAGAATAAAGATTTTGCTGTTAGATCAAATTAAATTTTAGAGATTGAGGGAAATCATATTAGCCGTTATCATATTAGTCACTGCTTAACATAAGCAACCTCCCTAAGGATGGTTGTTGCCACGCATGATAGGCGGATTGGCAATCACAATTTTGATTTGGTGATGTTTTAAAAGAAAAGGTTCTGTCTATCCCTCGTCCATTAAGTTCCCTTAGTCGCTTTTTACGAAACCTACGGGAAAGGAAGGGGTGGGCCATTGTATGCCGGGACCACACAGCGAATTTAAGAAAATGGCGTCTCAGAATATACCACATTTATGTCTAGGTGTTCTATCTAAAGTTTTTCAAGTAAAAGTCTGTGGAATTGAAACTAAATTCTACCATCATTACCTGCATGCCCTTATTTCATGTCATTCAGTGTTAATGTTTTTTACTTTTTTTTATACCACTGAGGTGGCAGATAAGAATACGGCCCACCTTATGGTAATCGGTTACCATATCATATGAACGCCTTTTTTTTTTGGCGAGGGGAAATGCTTCATGCAGACCCACATATCTCGGAGGAGATATGTGGGTACTGCCGGACTCTTACCGACTAAAACCTCCCGGTGTTCCTCGTCTACCTATTGCCGGAGCTGCGGGGAACCTGCTTGAAGTCGTCCGAGACATCATATGAACGCCTGCAATACCAGGGGTATTACGCGCGCGTTCCAACCCTGATAAAACCTCTTTACTTCCTTTTGAAGAACCTTATGCTGTAGTCTCTTGGGAAAACCTCGGCAGGGAGCTTATTCCATAACCTGGTCACTCAGGTTATGGAATGAATAATTTTATTCTGTTTCAGACTGGACTTGGTCAGACACTTTGTGTTGGTATTGGTGGAGATCCATTTAATGGTACCGACTTCATAGATTGTTTGGAAGTATTCCTTGCTGATCCAGAAACGAAAGGAATTATACTCATTGGTGAGATTGGCGGCAATGCAGAAGAACTTGCCTCAGAGTATCTTACCCAATATAACACTGTGAGTAAACATTTTATATTTCATTGTTTTGCTTTTGTTGTGTTTAATATGAATAAAAAGTGTGTTGACAATAGACTTTTAACATTAAATTTTGTTTTTCCACTTTTAACGCACTTTTGATAAGTTTTAATATAAATAATGTATGTAGGATAGTTAAAAATTTTTAAATGCACATACAGCATTATCTGCTTTTTTTTCTGTGCAGGACAAACAGGTAAACGCTTGCCCCCTGTCAGGTTTATTTTTTTATTTATAACAGCATGTAGATATAGTATCATACTTATAGATTACCTACTTACTACTCGTACTAATAGAGTATTCAAATTCATTTGATAGCATTCAGATAAAATGTGAATGTTTTGGAAACATTAATTACATCTATTTTATATGGTTAATGACAATCATTTGATATCTTAAGTAGTTTAGTTAATTAACACTAATTATACATACAAAGTATATAATTTTTTTTAATTGCATTAGTGAATTTTAGCTTAGATAATTTTCATTACTTTTCAGATGCTTTTTACTCAAATTTGATTTTACTCCTTGTCTGGGTGTTTCACTAATTTTTCCATCATATAGAGATAATTGCACTGACAAATGAGTGTAATATCAAGATTTAGGGAATTTAAAGTTTTTTTTTTTTTGTATATCGGCAGGAAGGTTTAGTTACAAAAAAAGTAATTAAAGATTATTATATGTATTTTATTGCCATCAATAAACAATTTTAGTGAAAAATATAAATAAATAAAACCATTCAATAATAATACTACAAACTGTAATAATGTGTTTTAATGCTCTTTTTTTTAAATTAAGGAATTTGCAAAGAATATTTGTTTTACTTGTATAAAATAATTTCATAATATCATTATTTTTTTAATTCTTGTTTTTGATTATTATTAATGTCCTACACTTCTAAACACTATCATGTATTATTTGTAAAACTACTAGTGACTTACTTTTAGGTTTATGTTTCTTGATTAAGTTACTGGTTTTTCTAGTAAAAGTAGATTTGCCAATTATATGTTTTGTAATCAATATTTCCAAATCTTGATTTTGCATATTTTTACATTAGGAAAATATCAAAATTTATCATGTTTCATTAATGAATGTTACTTTTAATAATTAACATTATTCGTGGGTTTGCTAAAATTTACTTTTTATATTCAATTTCAGGGTCAGAAAGCAAAGCCTGTAGTGTCATTTATTGCGGGTTTGACTGCCCCTCCTGGCAGACGAATGGGTCACGCTGGCGCCATTATTTCAGGTGGGAAAGGAGGTGCTATGGATAAAATAAAAGCTTTAGAAAAAGCTAACGTTATTGTTACCCGTTCACCGGCCAAAATGGGTGTAGAACTTCTTAAAGAAATGAAACGACTAGAGATCGTCTAAGTAATAGATACATTGGTTATAATATACAATATTACTCTGTATAGACTCTTAGTAATTATATTGGTATTATTTATTTTTATCTGTTGTTTTTGTGAAACTTTGCTAATAATGTACTTTACCAGCAGTGGAGTGTGCAACTTATGCTACTGGATGAAAATTAGTTTAGTACCCTATTATTTGCCCTATTTATTTAAATATCATAATGAAATCTCTATGAAAGTGTATTACCTAGGTACATATTTATTACGAGCACACTTCTATTTATAGGTAATAAGTCATATTCAATGTTAACTATAGGTGTTACTTGTAAATTGATCAAATCTTCATATTAAGCTAAGCAATAAAAATTATGAAATATAATTACATTGAATTGTGTCCTCTTTATGCTTTAACTGTTGTACGGTTGGAAAAATAATTGTAAACAAAATACATGCATATTACTTAAATAGGTAGTTTATTTTTTAATTTAACAATATCAAATTACAATCTACAAGTGAAATCTTAGAAAAATCATATAATTATCACAGTATGAATGAGATGGTTGATGTCCTAAATGATTAACAATTCAATCAACCATATAATTAAACACTCATAATTACAATACTGAAAATGGAATATAAATTATTATCGAAATTCTACCATCTTCCACGTCGCCCACGACTACATCCCCCGCGGCCGCGACCTCCGCCTTCCTGCCCTCGCCTTAGTTTCATTGCATGGAATCTTTGAGCCATAAGCTCTAATTCATCAGGTACTTCCTGATGTGCTTCTTCCAGAATTTTAATAAGATCCCCTGCATGGCACCAATCATTTCGAGTTATAAATGATAATGCTATTCCAGTTTTTCCTGCACGGCCAGTTCTACCAACTCTATGCACATACTCTTCAATATGACGCGGAAAATCCAAATTTATAACATGCGTTAAATCTTTAATGTCTATTCCTCTTGAAGCTACATCAGTCGCTACCAGAATATTCACAGTGCCATCTAACATATCTGATAAGGCCATTTCACGGTCACTCTGATCACGATCTCCATGTAGTGACTGGCATTCAATGCCTTTCATGCAAAGTTCAGTAGTGATATGAATAGCAGTAGCTTTTTTGCCACAAAATATAATAACTTTGGCATCTTTGTCCATATTCAAGAGGAAATCAAATAGGATGGAGTCTTTATCATTTTCTTCTACAAACATTAGGCGTTGTGTAACTGTGTGTACAGCAGCTAGATCTAATGAACCAACATTTACTTGGATGGGATCTTTCATGTATGATTCAGCAAGACGCCTGACTCCCGGAGGCCATGTAGCAGATGTCATCACTGTCTGACGGTCAGGTCTAACATCAAATAAAGACTTCCTAATCTGTGGTTCGAAACCCATGTCCAACATTCTGTCTGCTTCGTCCAATACTATGTATGAAAAGTTGATTATATTTAAATGGCCAGCAACAATAAGGTCATTGAGTCTTCCTGGGGTAGCAATCACAATATCTACTCCCTTGGATACAACATTTATTTGCTCCTTCCTGTCTCCACCACCATAAAGACAAACAGACTTTATTCCTTTGTAAGAATATTTCGAAACTTCCTTATCAATTTGTATAGCTAATTCCCTTGTAGGTGCCATTACTAATACTGTAGGGCCCTCTCGTTGATCTCTAGGTATAGTTTGTCCATCAATGTGTATGAGAGCTGGAAGCAAAAATGCCAACGTTTTCCCAGTTCCAGTTTGAGCTATGCCGATTAAATCATCACCTCTTAATAGTACTGGCCATGCTTGGCTTTGTATCGGAGAAGGTTTCTGAAATTCCTGTTTATATATTTCATCTAGAATTTCAGGATAGTTTGCAAATGCTTGTTCAAATGTTAAAACTGGATTGGGAATGGGTCTCAAATCTGGTTTATCATCAAAAGTTCTTTTTATTTGTATGTCATGGTTAGCAAGACGCCAACGAGTAACATCAGCATGTGACATGTTTGCAACTGCAGGATCTTCTTTATAAAAATCCTTAATAATGGAAGGTAAACTATTCCATCGATTTTGTTGAAATTGATCATAGTGAGCATTGAGTTTTTCCCAATCAATAACCTCCACACCAGCATCATTTAGCTTGAAAAACTCTGTAGACCTAACACTGCTATTGCTATTGTCAATAGTTTCCTTTACTGGCGGTTTCCTATCACGAAGTAATTCGTTTATCAAATTTTCCACTTTGGTTATAGCTTCATCCGTGCCAAACAGAGTAACAACAGTTTCTTCACCACTAGAATCACCTATTTTAATTTTTGCTTGAGATTCATATTCAAGATCACGTATTTTAGATCCACCTTTGCCAATAATACGACCCACTTTTTTGGAAAGAACATTGATAAACTTTTTGTTATCTTCTCGTCTGTCCTGGCCACGTCGGGTAGCTCGATCTCGTCGATTATCACCGCCAGCGGCATTGCTTTGTGGTCTCATATGGGGACCATCGTTTCTTCTACCTCTGCTTGCATGATAAACTCGAGCGTTGTAATTAGAAGTTGTCGGTGTAAGTTGAAGATTCAACCGCTCATTTTCTTGCCATTCGGATTCTAAGTCACACATTTTATATAGAAGCAATTAAAATTTCTAAAATAACACTATATTCGGCGATTTAGTAATAAAATTTTAGAAAGTCTCTTGGTTGTGTTATCTTGCAAGTTAATATTTAAATTGATATAAGTATCTATATTAAAAATTAACACAAAAAGTAAGTAAAGGAGAAAAGAAAAATAACTTATTGTCGGTAACAGACACCAAACAAGATAGATCAAGTTATCACTAGTGAGGGATATTATATAGGACTCGACCATAAAGTACAGAACCTCTATATCCTAGCGAACCAAAGAGTCCGTAGCATAGACTATTTATCTATATTAAGATAACTACGTTGAGTTGACCTTAGATTATGAAGTACAGACAATAAAAAAGAGAGAAAATATAATAATCTATCTGATAGAACGAGATAAACAATAGGATGATAATTTGCACAATACAAGCTTGAAGCTGATTTGACGGGAGTCTGAACAAAATAATTTATAATTATTTTTACGTCTTGCAGTGGCATTAGTTTTAAGTGTATGTAATTTGTTAGATATAAGTGGGCTATACTTTAACATAAAATAAATTAGGCAAATAATTTATAAAATTGTACAATTTTGCATAATTACACTGTAAATATTTATATATAATATTACCAAATATAATATTATCTTTAAGCACAACATTCTGGAATAATCAGAAATATCTTACACAAGGAATTGGTAGAAAAAACGTTTACAGCATACATGCACAGTCATGATAATAAAGTAGACAAAGCATCATCACTTTTTATCTCTATCGTTGTTTATTTGTGTTATCGTATATAATCTATAAGTATGGCTGTATATTTATATATGTATATTTATATTTGTATGTATGTTTTTATGACATATTTATGTAAAAATTGTTTAATGTATTCACGTATGTATATTTATATAATCATAATGTGCAGTAGTTCTCCATTGTATGTGTTGTAATTTTTTCACCGCATAATAAAATTTCTGTTTTACCAAAGGCTGACTGGGAGAGAATGCTATATAGTATTAAGTCCGCTTTTTGTACCAGACATTTTTTTGTAATATGGTCAATAAAGAATAAATAAATAAAGAATATATAGAAAGCATGAACAAGATATTTAGTGGCGAAGAGTTTCTTAACTATGGCATTCCAAAAGGCAGCGTCCTCGGACCAACGCTGTTCCTGATTTATGTAAATGAGCTTTGTAAGATCGGACTGCCAAATTCTTAAATAGTAACCTACGCTGACGATACTGCCATAATTGTCTATTAAAGTGGAGAACGGAAAGCGATATTAAATATTATAATACGTATAATAAGCAGAATAAAATGTTACAATCAACAAGATGCTTAGCAACGAACATTGTCATCGATAGACACAGATAATTAGGTCGTATATCTACAACTCATACTCCTAACATCCCGTCTACTTTTTATAGCTGCTGCTACTCATTCCAATGCGTAATGGCAGTTATTCTAATCTTGGTCTATAGAGTAGCTTTGTAAATGTGTCCGCTTGTTGATGTTCACATGAGACATGCTTTACTAATCTGTACCTGGATGCTTGTCCTTTGCACATTCACTGACACAAAAATGCTTGCGCTTGATATGATTTATTATAGGTTTTAGGTGCTTTTGTGAGTTCTTTATCTCTCCTGAAGCAGTCATTACAAAGTCATCAAATCTTGTAGGTGCTCGTAAATAATTACGATTTCGAAGTGACCGTTTAACTTCTGTTTGAACTTCTTCATGTGTCTCTTCATCATTTGTAGCTTGGCTTTCAAAAGGTCTTGTTTCTTCTATCATCTGGATATTTCTTTCATCATCTATCTCAAAATCATTATTAATTGAATCATATTCGCTTTCAGTTTCATTTGGGTCAATGTTCTTTTCATTGATTATAGTTTGTTTTTTATCTCTCTCTTCTAGTTTTTCAATATTATCAAAGAGCAGATCTACATAACCAATTGTACTTGATTTATTTGCTAATTTATTTGAATTAAAGTTTTCTTTATAGAAAAATTTATCAACAAATTTCACATCTTTTGAAATCATAATTTTACCTTTTGTAGGTACCCAAATTTTAAAAGCTTTTGATCGTTCAGAATATCCTGCAAACATGCCAGGAATGGCTTTTGTTTCAAATTTGTTTCTGTTTTGTTTATTTTTGAGAAGCATGTACGCTTTTATTCCGAATACATTAAAATGATTTAAAGACGGTTTTCTTCCGACCCATTTTTCAAACGGTGTCAAGTTGTCAATACTTTTATTTATACTTCTATTCGAAATGTAGTTTGCTGTACATATAGCTTCACCCCATAGAGTCATCGGTGCCCCAGATTCTATCATTAAACATTTAGCTTTTTCTAAAAGGGTTCTATTCTTTCTTTCAGCTATACCATTTTGGTGAGGAGTGTATGGAGCTGTTAATCGTCTTGTTATACCGTTTTTCTTTAAAAACATTTCAAATTCATTATTACAGTACTCTAAGCCATTGTCTGACTGAAGACATTTTATTTTATTGCCAGTATAATTTTCCATCTCAGATTTAAATTCCATAAATTTGTCTAATACTTCACTTTTCTTTTTGATACAATATACACGACTATACCGAGTAAGATCATCGATGAAAGTAACAAAGTATTTGTTACCTGCATAAGTTTCAGACTTCATCGGTCCACAAACGTCAGTATGTATGATTTCTAATCGTTGTGTAGTACGAGGAACAGTATTAGCTTTAGATGGTAGTCTTTTTATTTTGGCTTGAATACAAATTTCACAATCTCCAAGTTTCTCATTTAAACCGAATTCTAAACCTTTTAGGCTTTTATTTCTTAAAGCAAACTTCATGTCATTTTCATTCATATGACCAAGTTTCCTGTGCCAGTGATGAATTTTGCTTTGATCTGTGTAATGACATGTTTGAGATTTATTTAGTTTGGCATCAACATAGTATAAACCATCGGCTTTTCTATGTGCTTTCAAAATCACACCTTCATCTTTGTGAGTAACTACTGCCTTATTTTTTGTAAAGAGTACAGTACACCCATTTTCGGTAATCTTGCCAACAGATAACAGATTCAGTGACAAATCTGGTACATATAATGTGTCACATAATTTAATTTCTCCTTTCTTTCCAGGTTTATTTAACTGTAAACATACTAAACCTTGTCCTTTTATTTCAGCAGCACCATCGTTAGACGCTAATTTTAAAGTTTTGCAAGTGTCTTCTAAATTGTGAAAAATATTTCTTTCATAAGACATATGTGAAGTGCATCCGCTATCTATGATCCATTCTTTTTTGTTTTCTTCCTTAGATACATATAGACAAATCGCAATATTATTTTTATTTACGTCTTTGCTATCATGACTTGATTTTATATTCGTCTTAATTTTGTAGTATGATGACTTCTTTCTACAGTTTTTAGTATTATGTCCTTTTTTCTTACATATCTTGCAAAAAGCATAATAAACTTCTTCATTACTTGTGCTTGCATCTGCAGAGGATAAATGTTTTCTCGCTTCCGATTCTTCAATAATTTTGATCTTTAGATCCTCAGGATTAGGTAACGTTTCTCTCGACTCTATCGCTACTCTAAAATTTTCATAGTCTGGCGGCAAGGTGTATAGCATCATAACTGAAAGTAGATCGTCATGAATACTTATGTCCATTTGATTTAACTTTTCAACTATATCCATAAACTTGTTTAAATGTTCACGTATATCATCGTCATTTTGTAATCTACTTAGAATTAGTTGTTTTAATAGACTAGCTTTTCTTGCCGGACCTTTGCTCGAATATATATCATTGAGCTTTTGCCACATTTCATGTGCAGTTTCACATTTTTTTATTAGTTTTATTTCTGCTGCAGACATCAATAGAATGAGTTCTGACTGCGCTAGCAAGTCTTCTTCTTTAATTTTAGGATCCTCATATTCTATGTCTGGAGTTACTACGTATTTCCATAGCTTTTGTTTAACAAGGACTGCTTTTGCTTGTAAGGCCCAAGTGTCATAGTTATCTTTATTTAATTGTTCTATTTTTCCATAGGAGGCCATTTTATATCGTTATTATTTGCTCTGCTACCATATTAAAGTGGAGAACGGAAAGCGATATTAAATATTATAATACGTATAATAAGCAGAATAAAATGTTACAATCAACAAGATGCTTAGCAACGAACATTGTCATCGATAGACACAGATAATTAGGTCGTATATCTACAACTCATACTCCTAACATTGTCCATGGTAAGATTTGGTCTGAGTTTCAGATGTATGCTGAACCTTCACTTCAACATGTGATGCGATGGCTTTCCAATAATTTATTAACACTAAACCTAGATAAAACAAAATACATCACTTTTGCTCCAAGATTATCTTCTCCACACTCTCCTTCGTTTTCCTTGACTGCACATATGTGTAAGTCATCGAATATTAATTGTCAATGTGTTAAAATTACACGTTCTATTAATATAAAATACCTCGGTATACAAATTAAATACCTTGTTATCGAATGTTCAAGTTGAATCATTAATATTAAGAGTTCGAAAATTAATTTACTTTTTTAAAAACCTCAGAAACTGTGCAGATTTAATTACATTAAAATATGTATATTTTATTCTCGCTTATTCTGTTATAGGATATTGTGTCCCAGTTTGGGGAGGCTCTGTAAATTGCTTAATTTTAAAATTGAAAAGAGCCCAACGACCTATTTTGAAAGTTATGATCAATAAACCAATTTATCACCGAACAAATGAACTCTATAGCTTTTGTAATATATTGACTGTAAGATAAACATATTTAGAACAGTATTACGTAGACATTCGAATACTATATATAATATGGCTAATGATAATAACAAACATAGACCTAATAAGATTTGTCACACTCCATTCACAAATTTAGTAACAGTACGACAATACCAATATCAAAGCTCAATATGATATAATTAAGTTAATAAAGAACTTACCATATATCCACGTACACTTCGTGAATGTAAAAACAAAAAAAAAAAAAACTGTACCAATGACTTCATAAACTAGACTATGACAACACTGAAAAACTATTATGTACTTAAATTGAATATAACTAAGTTTTGTAGTGTGTACAATAATAGGAGGAAACAGTATAGTTGTTTCTATTAAGAAATAATAAATATGTTGACATATTATATATACAAAGTAACTTATATAATTAAAATCAAAATACATACATACATATAT